GTGAAACATAGAAAATACAAATATCTTTTTTTGATAAACATCATTTATTTTGGGCGTTCATTTAGATAGCGATTAACTTGTTGTCCTGACAAATTTGTTGATTTATTTTTAGTTAACACTGAATTACTACACTACCAAGGATTATATTCACCTACGAAATTTTAGCAGTTATTCATCGCAATATTTTTATTCTTCTCCTATTGCGCAATACTCCATTAAAACTGTTTACAAGGGCATGACCAAAACTAAATTCCAACAAGCATTTTCCGGCAGAAAGAGTTTCTTTTTGCTTGCAGTCTTCCAAAACCAACGCATATGGTGGTAATTTATTGCCAAACACTCTTCTATCTGTCATGCAGGTTTAATTCCCTAGTTTGCGTTAAACGTTTTAATTAGAAATTCCCAGAAGCTGTCTAAAGTACCACAGGTGCAGAAGCAGATAACAGCTCCGCCTAAATAAAATTAATAGGAATGGTAAAGGGCAAAATCTGTTATCGAAAAAATAGTAGTGCCAAGTCCCCCTTTATACTGCCGAAAACTTACCAAATTCTACTTTCCTCAGTTGTTCCTGGGAAAAATTCTGCGACAGCCCTTTTGTTCTATTTACAGTACCATACTCTGGATCAAAGTACATTGTAGGGGAATTGTTTTTTGGGGGGGGGGGAGGGAGAGACTCCAACCACAATCAGCACGACTCGAAGATGATATTTCTGTCGTTAAAGTACTAGTGTTACGGAAAGAAGGTCGAGCTTGATATCAGGTGCTGGTTCTTGGGGTATCAGCGTGAGCATCGTATTATAAACTTATTTTAACTATTGTACTATTCTAGCTTTCAATTGGCTGTAATCATGTTTAGTTTGCTTTTTGGTTAATTGTATTGTAAAAAGCGTATAAAGGAGCTTGCCTCTTTTAGAGTAGGGGCTTTTTACTGTGGGCGTTGCCGCCTTGCCAAGAGATTTGTGGCCGCCGTTTCCCGATGATTAAAAGTCGATGCGTGTGTCTCTTGAAAGTCATCGCTGTTGCCCTGTTGTTTTTTTAAGAGTTGAAGTAGAAAACGCCACAAGTCGCCAACGCTAAAGCAAGCAATCCAAAGGTCGTGAGTTCTTTTTTATGATTATTCTAGCGTATTTGCATTTTAAATTGAATATTTGAGACTGATTCGTATATGAAGTATCTCGCCTACTCACACATGGTCTATCACTAGGTACAATGCCTGCCAAAAGTACTTGGAACACCCACCAATTTACGCTGCATTTGATATCTTTCATTCCTTTCATGGAAAAAAGTGTTACTTCCGCCCCCTTCCCCTAAAACAATTTTGATGATTTAGAGAAATATCATAAAAGAAGCGTAAAAGAAAGTGCTTCCTAAAATCCTAACCCGTTTGATAGTAAACCAACATTGTTCCGTGGGGGAGAGGGGGATGATTGGGTTTGACCTTGGAAATGGGTGTCAGTGTTCCAAGACTTTTGGCAGGCATTGTAGGTATCTTTAGAACTGCGTAGCGACGTACAAGTCCAAAAGCTGGCACTTTTATTTTCTATCATATTGGATAGATACACTGCAATCAATCTAAAAAAGATATATATAATAAAATAGATAATTTAGCTCATCGCCTCATGGTGGATGGTGAAGAAGCCTAAAATGATTCTCAGTTTACCTGTATTCAAGTAGATTATGATAATAATCTGTGATTGTAAATCATTTTGATGGGACCCTCCTCTGAACCACATTTTCTCTCGCGGTCTGCCCATTGTATTGCGCTTCCCATTCAGTGCACTGTTACAAATTAATTATATCACAATTTGAAAATTATTGGAAAGGGGATTATACTACAGTTTGAAAATTCTAGCCTAGCCCCCCCAGTTCTTCTTCCCAGCCCCCCACTTCCGGCGGCTCTGGGTTCACTATATTTAAACTAGAAATAGCTCTTGCTAGTACTGCCCGCAAACAATTAGTTCCTTGATAATGATTGTTTTGAAAATGTAGGTCAGGATATTCGAAGAAGACACCATCTTGGGTTTTCACAATTCTATAAAAACAGCTGCTCTAGTTGATGCTAAACTATTCTTTTTATCAAGAATTTTTGGTGTTCAGTTTGCCTTTGATTTAAGTCCAACGCCCTTTTGAAAATCATGAAATTTTTCGAGGGTTTGACATTTATTTTTCGATAATCACGACAATCATAACTTTTGCTCGTACGGTCTCGAGTTTTTGGGAGAAAAGTGTGGCATTCGACTGGTTTTGATTCCCAAAACTTCGAATCAAAACTTCCATCCATTGCGGAGAACAGAGCTGTGATGCAGCACCGTTTTCGTGCCAACAATCATAACTTTTGCTCGTACGGTCTCGAGCTTTTGGGAGAAAAGTGTGGCATTCGACTGGTTTTGATTCCCAAAACTTCGAATCAAAACTTCCATCCATTGCGGAGAACAGAGCTGTGATGCAGCACCGTTTTCGTGCCAAAAAACCGAAGGCCTTTAACAAAGTCTTGGCAGAGCAACGCTCCGAAGATAATTCCCTTCCGCACAAAGAGGTGGCGGTTAACGACCTCCTCGACAAAGCCGATTGATTGACAATGAAATTGATTGACAGTTGTCATGGCAGCAGAAAAGTGACAAAATCTGCTGAAAAAGTGCTGACAACATGAACTGAAGCTTCCATATGCTACTTATACGCGGGGCAGACTATAAGCCCTTCACTCGCGCGCTATCGCGCGCGAGTTGCGGGCAATAATTTTTATTTGGGTGCTTCAAAGAAACTTCAAGAAAATTACTTTCAAGGCAGATCTTTTAAATAGATAGGAATGGTACCGATCAAAGGAATATTTAAAAATCAAGATATTTCAAAGTTTATCAAATTAGAATTTCTGAAAGCCATTAACAGTTCTTAGATGAAGGGCAGTTAAGTCTTACGAAAGTGACTAACTATAATTCTTGCGGAATCAGTTTTGATTGATTTGTAGCGTTTTAAAAGTATTTTAATGTATTAAAGATATGAAGACAGTACCAATTTTTTTGCACCCTTCAAAAACTTTAGGATTAAGTTGTTTTTTATTACAAATGCAAACAAACGAGCTGCTAAAAGTCGATAAAAATGTAGCAAATATAAAACAGCGCAATACGCCGAGAATAAACAACAGTAAATACACGTAAATCAGTAAAGGCTTTACTGATTTACGTGTATTTACTGTTGTTTATTCTCAGCGTATTGCGCTGTTTCATATTTGCTACATTTAAATAGAGAACAGATTGACTTTTTATGGCGATCATTTCAAATACGATTGTGTCGACTTGAATTTCAAGGATGAATAAAAAAATGACTTCCTGTTTGATTTTTTGCCTGGCCTCCTGTTCTGATGAACATTGCGGAGGCGCTATTTTCTTCCAGGAAAAGTCTAGCAGCTTGAAGATTTGAGTTTCGAACCAGACAAGAGAAAGTTGCTGTTTAGTCTCAAAATGGGGAATGATTTATCCAGAAAATTTCAGCCAGCCCAAGGACTCACCGCTATAGTCTTCATTGGCACTATTTCTTCACTGGCTGTCCTTTTCCCGGAACAACGCGATACAATTCTCCCTCGACTGGTCTCCTTTGGCCACTTGACTTGCATTTCTGCATGGTTTGGTATCCAGTTTTGGGTGACGTTTGTCGCAGGTACAGTATCTCACAATCGGTATTCTGTGACTGTGAACAATTTTATTACGTTCAGAACAGGATAAGGTCGAGTCAATCAATCAGAGGCCTCCTCGGAGTAAGGACAATGTCCTCAGCAACTAGGAATTATTGTCCCTATTTACTTTGCTAGATCTATTTGATTTTGAGTGCTATACTGATGTACCATTGGTTGATAGAGTTGATCTATATTAAATCAGACTCTTAAATTATTTTTTTGGCAAATTTCAGCTTTAACCTTAGAACATACACTTCAATACTTGTTTGGATCTTTGGTGTTGCTTATTCATGTGTTAGTTATTTTAAATTGACAGCAATTAACATCATTATTTTATGTCCTCAGACATCAGCCTGACCAGATGAAACTGAATTTGACAACAAAAATGGCATGTGGAAGACATTGCTGTACGCCTTAAAACCTTGTTCAGCAAAGACAAATGGAAACAACTATATTGAAATAATCCATTTTATAAAAAAGGACAATAAAAGCGAGTGTATTTCTTGTGGTTTTCAGGCTAAAAAATCCCTTGATATATCACTTACTTTTTTGTGTCAGTAACAGATTTTTACTGGTCAGTCAATACCATTTTATTTTCATGGAAAACTCTCACCAGCCTAATCAAACATTTCCTTTCAGGGTTAACAAAAATGAAATTGCTCCCACGCCACTATTTTGGTTTGGTTCAGAGTCACCTTTTCCCAAAAGCTTTTTTGTATGGAACTGGCTTCACCCTAGCAGCTCTTGGCACATTTTTTATAAAGAACCCATTGGATACATGGCAGTATGATGAAAAAGTCAAGGTGAGGCTTAATTTAAGTGTTCTTATTGCAAGAAAATCATAACTGAATTGCTGAAATGGAGTACCAAAGTATGACAGGATAGAGAATTTCTTTTAAGAATTTTTTACCATAACTTGAAAACACAATATCTGAAAGTGGAAATCAGTTGAACCTGTTTCAAATTGACTGAGAAACAGCAGGAAGTGATCATGATGGTGCTCTGAGTGGCAGTTTGTGTTACCGTGCTTGATATCAGTTTTGGTCAAGTTTGTAACAATTTAATAGGGAAGAAGTTTTTGCTCATATAGGCATGTCACAGACAATTTCGATTGTCTCTTTGGTTCTCTCAAAAGTTCATATGACTGAAAAAGTGTTATACAGCGAATATTATTGTTATAATAGGCACTAACTTTTAATTTTCCAAGAGCTAGGTTATATTTCAAAATGTTACAATAAAAGTTGTTGATACACTTGGCATTGTAATAACAATTCATTTCTGTCATTACAACTTTATAAAATAGGTATAAACCTTTAATATACATTTGCATCTGCCAGAAAGACCTTAATTAATTTGTAATTTTCTTATATGAAGAAAATAAACTCTGCTATTTGCTGTTCCCTGTTTTCCCCATTTTACAAGTTCTGATTTTTCAGTAGACTTGACTGAATTCAAAACAAATCTTATAATAAATTTGAAGTAGATTTCTAAACTATACTTTCATTTTCACAATTGATATGTCTTCCAGGCTACAGCGCTCTTGGTAAATCTTGGAGCATCTTTGATCAATCTCCTGTTTGCGATTCCAAAAATGAATGGGTTCATGACACAAGAGCATAAGTTTGAAAAAGAACATGGGCATGGAGAGGAAATTGGTCCAATAACAGACCCAAAACTCCTGAATAACCCACAATACAAAGTGCTTCGCAAAAATTTCTTTATTTACCATGGCATTGCAACATCTCTCAACCTTCTGGCATTTGCAGCCTGTGGAGTCTACTTCTGGTATTTGAGCAAAGATATCAAAGTATGACATTCAGTAGTGCACAATGGGCACCAGAAGTAAATCTTTAAAAGCATTACATGATATGATGTATGATGGCTGTCTTTTAATAGCTACAAATTCTGAAGAGCAAGGAAATGGAACAACATGCCAGTTTTCAATATCAAAGTTGAAAACTTTTAGAAAACCGTTGATTTGAAAAGACTTTTAGAAAGTAACAGTAGTAGATTTGAAAAGACAAAACCAATCATTTGCCACTAAAATATTACATTCTTTATGCTTAGCACACACTTACACAGCTGTTTTAATAAAATCTTTTTCATGATAACATAAAACTATAATAAATTTCCTTGGGTTATTAGTTTCTGAGAAACTGGTCCTTCTAGGATGATGCAAATCATTGAGCAAAATGCTGATAAGAATGGTTTTTAGAGATTCCAGTTGTCATAAAATCTTTATTCCATGGTTTTAGATAATGAATAGAACAAGCCTTTATATCCATTTGTTCATTGTATCTGATAATGTTCTAGCAAGCAAAATTGATACTACCAGTTCAAGCTTTTTGCCAAATACCAAAGATATGCAGAGGAACATCCTAGCGAAACCATATTTACTAATGAAGAAACTGCATGCAGTTTGAAAAACATGCCACGAAGCTCCATGTATGTTTTGTCACTCTGCAATCCCTTGCTTAGAGGGATTCCGACTTCTTGTCCACTCTCCCCATGCTCTCTCTCATATTTATGACATTTGAACATTTGAGCAGTGGTAATTGGTTCAATGACATAATAATTTGCAGCATTTGAAGCTAGCATCAGGCCTAGGAGCCAACCCTGTTAAAAACAGTTGGAAGTACTCAACATAATACATAAATTTGTTACCATATAACAGTTACACTATGTGTTGCACTATAACAGTATTCTAAGCTCAAAGAACTGATTATTATTTCAAAATATTGCTTAATTTCTATATGCAAAAAGTGGAAAATTGCTTGTTCTGATATATTTGCCTCGCTATAAGAACATATTAACTTTAAACAGCCATTTCATCATCAATCAAAAAACAGGATTATAGAGCTAAAATGTTTTGTCTAACCTTCAATACAAAGGCCAATCATTTTTGTAAATATTTCATTTAAACAATTACCAGGATGAGAAAGTGGATCAAAGTTAGGAAAACAAATATGAGGAAGTGAAGTGATACTTTTTTGATGAAATCTAGTTTCAAAAGGTAATCTGACACCTAAGGCCCTTAAATTCCTTAGCCCTACACAGTGTAAAAGGGATCATAAACCAGCTTGATGCCTAATAACGGCAGTGCTGCCCCCACTTTGGCATCCACAGCAATTTACATTGCACCAAAATCAGAAAAAGGTGTTTAGTTGAAGTGGCAATTGAGGTTAAAAAATGAATCATGTTTTGCATTCAGAATATAGAGTGTAAAAGTTGGAAGAGCTTCATCTGGTAAAGAAAGATTTTTTGACTCTGCGTGATTTTTCAAATATAACAGATGCAATATACTTGGGCAAATATGAAAGATGGGTAAAATCATTTGGATGACAATAAACATTTTGAATCACTTAAGTCAGAAATGTACATTTAAGTCTAGCATTTTACCTGGATTTTTTGATCTCCTGACCATATCCTGACAGGAATGTTTGCAACATATGAAGATAAAGCAACACTTGAGAAAAATGTGCCAGCAAGGAAGTATTTTGGAAACATCTTACTTTGCAGTAAACCAAACATTTGCCTTGGAAGTACATTGTACATAACAACACCTATAAAAAAGGGTTTTTGGCAGATAAAACGGTACTGTAAATCCTTGCATTGCCGTGAAAAAGCCCCCTCTCGAATAAGCACCCACCATAGAACTACAAATTGTCAATAAGCCCCCCTTGAATAAGCCCCACTGCTACCATAAATTCTCGAATTGGACCCCTCAATTTGACGATTTTTGCCATCTGAGGTGTTGCCTATGGCATTTTATTGAATTGCCACAACAAATTCATACTTTTGGTGGTAATTAATTAAATGCTCGCAAAGAAATTCCTACTAAAATAAACAAGGTCTTTTAATAATGTCTTCTTAATGTATACAATAATTTAATAAGCCCCCCCCCCCCCGTATAAGCCCCTCCCCTCGTATAAGCCTCCCTGTGAATAAGCCCCTACCCAAAAATATCTAAAATAAATGAACCCCCAGGGGGCTAATTCGAGGATTTACGGTATTGGTAATTGATACATATTTTTAACAATTGTTTATTATAGAAGACAATTAACCAGACATAAAATCGTAGAGATGTTACTACAATGCCTGCCACAATTACTTGGACCCACTGCTGGATTTCCAAAATGCAGCAGTTATCATTTTACTTTTCTATGTTTCATATCTTTTCCTATTACTACAACAGCCACCCCCTTTCCTCTGTCTTTAGAGAAATTTGGATATAAATCACACTTGAGGGGGAGGGGGGCGGGGGGGGGGGTCTGCCGCCAACCACAGTCTACAACGCGCCGCCGTGGCATTGTGAAAGTATGTTCAAGTTGCATAAATGACCACATTTCGAAGCGGAGACCAATTACAGCTTCTAGTCAAATAAACATTAGAAAGATTTAAATATATTGCATTAGAATGTAAGCAAAATATGACTTCATACCAGATACCAATGTGACCCAAAACTGTGTTCCAAAAAAGGTCGCAAATGACCCAAGATGTAATAACTTCATAAATTCATCTCCAATTTTTGCTGGGAAGGCGTATAAAATTCCTGAAAAAATTGCAATGATAACAGTAGCTTTAGGCTTGTTAATACTCGGTAAATAACTTATTGCAGCACCCATCATGTAGCTTTCTTTCTAAGTTACATAAACATTGAACGGACAGGACTGTGCGATTTTTGAATGAATGCTGCAGATCTCAACCTCGATTTCATTTCGAGGCGAGTTGATTCTTTTCGCTTGAATATGCAGTAATTTATTGAAATATACTTTTTATAAAACAGACTTTATAAAGACACCGAGGCTTGATTTCTCGAAAAAAAACACCAATAACATAAGAAAATGCCCAGTTACAGCTAGAGAATAAGAAGCAAAATGATATTTTTGGGTTTTTTCTCACATGTTGTCAAACTACAGGAGATTTTGTCAGCATATCAACTTCGTCCTGGAAAATTTCTGTTTGATGGCCTTCAAAGGAACGTATAGCAAATGCAGAAAGATCGGTGTTGAAATAAGAAAAAATTAAGAAAACTAAAGCTTTTGAAATACAAAATGATAAGAACATCGAAATTTAGGAAAAATTATCTTGATCTTGATCTTATATAAGTATTGTCCTACGCTTGTCCCTCATTCTGCCACTACACGTTTCTTATAAGAGCACTTGGCTCCAGTTTTAGTCTGGCGATTTTTATTATTTCGCATAATTTTAGCCTCGTGTGTTTCCTTTTTTCTTAATTTTGTAATCGAATTTTCTGTGCATAGTTGTTAAGACAAAACATTTGCTTAATAAAGTAGTTAAAGCCTCTGTCCTTGGCCACAGGGATGTTGCACTTGTACCTGCAGTTTTATCTTGAACAAAGTAATTAGATTTGAAATAACGACGTTAATTTTGGCAAGGTTACCATTTTAACTGTTGTTTCAATGCTATTTTGCTGATCTCTTTTTGTTGTTATGTTGCTATTCTTTTAATTTTCACTTTTTGTTGGTTTTTTATTTCTGGAGATTTGTTGAGTTTAAGCCGGTCTTCTTTCTTATGTTGTTCCTTTTGGTTAGGCAAGTCTGTCTCAAGCTATAAAAAAAACTTATTCCAAAATACATCCGGTATTTCTAGCGTACTACCTACCTGAAATAAAGGCATCATAACTTCTAATTGAATTAATGGTCTGAAAAGCTGAACTAGCTAAAAGAAAATAATAATAGCCTTGGATGTACGAGAATTTAAAATTAAAACAGAATAAAGTTCAGAGACATTATCTGTGGTCACCGTGTGCATAAAAATGCATAAAAAGCGAATTGCTACATCAATCCACATAAAAGCAAATGTGCTGATCACCAGATAGTTTCACACGAAGGAACATCAAATAGTTTCGCAGGGAGGAACATTAAATAGTTTCGCAAGAAAGAACATTAAACAGTTTCGCAGGAAGGAACATCAAATAGTTTCGCAGGAAGGAACATCAAATAGTTTCGCAAGAAGGAATACCAAACAGTTTCGCAGGAAGGAGCATCAAACAGTTTCGCAAGAAGGAATACCAAACAGTTTCGCAGGAAGGAGCATCAAACAGTTTCGCAAGAAGGAACATCAAAAAGTTTCGCAAGAAGGAACATCAAATAGTTTTGCAAGAAAGAATACCAAACAGTTTCGCAGAAAGGAACATCAAACAGTTTCGCAGGAAGGAACATCAAATAGTTTCGCAGGAAGGAGCATCAAACAGTTTCGCAAGAAGGAACATCAAATAGTTTCGCAAGAAAGAATACCAAACAGTTTCGCAGGAAGGAACATCAAAAAGGTTTCGCAGGAAGGAACATAAAAAACCAACACAGTGTAAACTTGTAGCTATTTATTTTAAAGTCGTAGATACATTAAGGTGGCAGAATTAATTTCTACAAGTGCATGAAACGCAATATTTACAGCTAAAGGAATTCCCGACAAAAACATAGATTTTTAATAGACACAATACTGTCATAACTTCGTGTACATAAAACATAGCTGGAATTGGAAGGGATTCAAATGAATTTGCATTTTCTGACGCAATTAGAAAGAATTACCAGCTTTTGCTGATGATAGATTTTTACAACTGTTTTTTTACTGAAATAGGGGACTTCCAACCTCTTGCAAAGTATATCCGGTGTCTGTATATGAAAGCACTATTAAAATTGGATGTTGCAATAAGTCATCCACATGTATGTCTAGCAAATGTTAAGGCTTTGACTGTAGGAGAATTATATTTCAGTTGGCTACACAATATTTGCCAAAAAATACAGACACCGCTTTTCAGAAAGCTAGTTTGCATCTACGACATTTGAAATGTATTTTATAGAGGAAATTGGTTCATGGTCATAGGAACTTTAACTTCACAATACACCAGGATATAGTGAGAAATAGTCTTCAATCGTAACGACAATGCCTCACGAGTTAAGTAGTTAAAACGTTCTTTAAATATAAAGGCCTAATTAAGCTATTCATTAACACGATACAGAATGCGAATAGCACGCACCTACAAACCTACAAACACTAACAAAGGACTTGGTAGAATAGCGTCAGTTTTAAGGCCGAATGTAACTCGCCACTTCCTTCCGTTCAGTTGTGTAATGTTGGGTTATAACGCATGGGCTTATTCAAGTTATATCTCTATACGGCGGGGGGGGGCAGAAGTGGTTTTAATTAGAAGAAGGATGCTTCAGTATAGAAACAAGACTCAAGTTATTGTGAGTTCCAAGGAGAATTGAGAGGCAATGTTCATCATATGGAAGACAGTGCCTCTAACATTATTGTAACAAAATGCTCAGATTGTCTGACACGTCATTAGCCTTGCTATCGTCACACTACGCTACGTCTAGAAGCCGTATGTAACCTGTACAAACATGAAACGTACAAGACTGACTTGACAAAGAACTCGGATTGTCATACCAGGGAAAGGAAACAACAGTTACACAAGCATTGAATATGGTCATCAGCTTGGGGTTTTTTATGCAATTACGGGAACAGCAACAACTTTGGTTATATATGACGACATCTCGAAATTTTTGGGTACAAGGGCATTAAGTAATCACAGGGCATGGATAGTGGCATGAAAAAGCCGTACTCCAACTCCGTGACAATAACTGGTCGGTTTAAGTTGGACTTTGGTGACAAGAATCTTGAAAACCTAAAAGTGTTTGATTTTAAGAAAGTCTTCTTAGCCAACATCTTGTGGTTGATGGTATAAATTTCAAGGGCTGCCTTGGTTGAGCATTTAGCTTGTTGTTAAAATCTCTAGTCTCCAGTCTTTGCTGTCCAGAGCATTTAGACCATTGACCGAAACAACGAAAAACATATCAAATGGAAAGAGTGAAGCAGTCATTTGGAATATTTTGATGCCAAAACAGCTCATTTGTCTTCGCGCATAAACTGCTGGCACGAACTGTCATAATGGCAACACCTAGTCATACTAAAATTGAAATATTTTAAGTCCAGAGCGAAAAGTCAGCACGATCAGAGAGACTCAATCACTGATGGCGCTAACCTTTTAGTGTTAGTGATCAAATATAATGCTTACGTCATCACTATTCTGAAGTTATAAACCTCAGTACTAATCAATCAATAATCTACAACAATTTACAAGAAATTGATCAAATAATTTAAGCAACATTACTACAATTGAATAGTTCTAAATACTTTCCTCGGATATCATAGATTCCCCATTTCGGCTGAGTTTATCGTTGTGGTGTATGACACATTCCTCTTTGAACACATGAAACCCTACAGAGGCTGGACTAGTTTGACTAGTAGTGGAAGCCACATCTTCTTTGCTCAGTACTGGCTCATCGCGTTCACAGCTAACCTCAGGCAGCCCAGAACATAAATTAACAGCACCACTTGAGTTGCTATGCACATTCTCTAAGCTACTCGTAATGCTTACAGTGGTGCTGCGAGGTTGTGGAATCATCGATGCATGGCTGTCGACGTCACCATCACCTGTTCTGTAATGTGATATGAGAGAACGGCTATCTAGACTGTTGCTATCTTGGCTCATGCCAGTTATGCTTGGCTGCGGCTCTGGAAAAAAAAAAGCATAAATAAGCAAACATTGAACATTCAATAAACCAGGAAAAATACTTCTATTTTTCAGAATTTCAGCAACTTTCAGCAACTGATCTGTTTCTAGACGACAGTGTAGGACTGCAAACACTACATACATGGCATATCTATTGCTATTACTAAATCAAATCTAATTGATATGTAAGCATATGTGAGGCATCGAGCAGGGTTGCTTACACCTTGATCAATATGGTACAATACCTGTAAAATTACTTGGGAAACCCAGAAACTTCATTTGTGTCTTTCCCCTTCCCCTTCCCCCCAAAAAATGCCACGAGAATAAATGGACTTCATAGTCTCCTCCTTTCCTTTAACAATACGAATATTGTTGCAAAAGAGCAAATCTGAATTTGCTTTTGAAAACTATATAAGTGTTTCAAGAATTATGACAGGGATTGTGGCTCTGTAGAGTTGTTAGGCCAGAGCAACAAATCAAGATCACGACACTTATTGTGCTTATGCTTAAAAAGCAAAGCTTATTAATGCAGATGGACGAGCTGGTTAGTTGATTACACTGCAACATCTCTATGGGCTTCAATCAAAATGTAAAATTCTAAGAGGGCATTTGGCGAACATGTGCCTGCCATGTCCTCAATCCGCAATTTGGATTTATACAAAGAGAACAAAGAACTAAGAGGTTTAACTCTATATTCTAAAATTCACAACGATATGTGGTTCTCGATAACTATTCGACAAAACCTTAGCCACCACCACAACCATAAACTTAGCAAGGATCAAACATACACAAACTGTTTGCAACCGTCACATCAGCAGCGCTATCGCACACTACCTTCTACAGTGCTGAACGCCCAACATGCTGGCATACTGAGATATAATGGGTGGTTGGTAAAACATTGAAAAAGTAGGATAATGATTTCCGAAGGTTGGAACTTAACTTATTATACTAAAGTACATGTTTGTACTTCAGACGGAGTGTTAGTTTGATGCTTCAGGGTTCTGCTTTCGAGCAATTGACATTAAATGATAACTATAAAAATAGCACAATTCTTTACAGTTATACGGAGGTAAATCCCTAAGCTTTACAAAGTGATTTCTAAATATCTGTGACTGAAACCTCTACATTAGTTAGATCTTTTCTTCTAAAGGTCTGGAAAGCAATGTGAATCTGACATTGAAGTGATCGATGTTTACCGAACATCTTGACTGGCTATCAGTCTTTGTTGTGAGTTCTTCCAAGGGCTGGCGATGCATGTCACAACGACTTCTGTGAATCTGACATGCAGCACTAGCCCTTGGAAGAAATCAGAATGCAGACTTGTAACAAGTCAACAGTACATCAATCTGTACCAAAGAGGCCAGATGCCGCACGCGTTTAGCATGAATTGGTTCGAGACAGAGTGAACAAAAAACTTACCTTTATTTACAGTTGCCTTAACGGTCAAAACATTGCCGCCTTGCGTTGTGAGACTGGCATTGTCTAACATGCTACTCGAGTGACTGTTTCTTCTTGCAGGACTATTCTTATCACTAAAAGACACCGTCCCATCGTCTCTTTCATCGAATTCAAAATTGACGCCATTTCCGTTTCTTGACCGCTTTACCGCGGTGCATCCCCCACTTCTGCATAGCGACACCGGCACAACACCATAGACATAGCCAAGAGCTATTGGTACACCGACACCAACCGTCAAAGCCGCCAGAAACGGAGAAATGATAACAGACAAAGCAACGCCACCAACGATTGCCATGTTTCGTTTATGGACAGACTGGCGTGGGAATGAGAAGCGATCGCGTATCTAAAAAGAAGAATATTTCATTAGCAACGTACCCTACTGCACAGATCAAGCAAGGAACACGATTCAGATAGGAGGCAAAAGAAACCCTATTTTGTAGCATGTATTTTGTACGGCGGGAAGCCTCCTTGACTTCACTGGTGTTCTTGAGCCAAATGCGTTGAAGAGTATAATGAATTATCATGTACAATTACTTCTGCAAGTTTTGAAACTAGTTATGAAAATAGCTTTACTATTACCCGTTAGATTTGAAAGTACATTTAAAAGGTCTTGCTTAAGCTTCCCCCCCCCCTTCAAAAATATTTGCTTTCTACAAAGTGACCTTCGAGAAACGAAGTTAACCGTTTTTCACTCGTTGTAACCCCTAAGGCGAAGGACTGGTTTATATAATCATGGTACTTGAAAATTACTGTTTAACAGTCTGTCATAAAATTCTCGATGTCGTATAGGCAGAGCTTTAATGTTGAAACTCGTGGTAGCAATTTAAACCATTACACATTAAAATTTCATCAGGTTACTTGTATGATATTATTGTTAACCATGAACATTGATTTAGGAGGAACCGGAGAAAAATATGAAAAACTATAAGCTTTTAGCCTTTCTGTGCGATAGTAGCAGGAATTGGGTAGTGATATTGATCCCCTGCGCAGCAGCAAAATGCACATCTACCATGCAAATGTCAGTTACCCTCAACCATAACAGACGGATGCATGCTGGGAATCGTGTTTCATGATTATTTAAAACCTCATACGGAGATGTGACGCGAAACAATGTGCAGCGTCTTCATTTTAATTATTTAGCGCTAACAATTGCCATATTTTTCCACAACTCTCCATCTGTTATCCTGATATTGTCTCCGAACAAAAGTTGCAAAGCTATTTCGCAGCATTTATGCCACCCACTCACATTTGAACAGATACAGCCAATGCCTTTTTCAATATTTTGATTAACTTTGAAGAGGAAACCTATATTCATACATTCACAAAGCTAAAACTTAGCTTGAGAGATGTCGACAAAAATGAGAGGGAAACTCCCTAGAAGAAGTCGCAAAATTAAATACAAACATGATAAATTATAAACTTATTTCAATATATATTTTAGTTTTAATGCATGGAAGACTCTGTAATGAACGCGCAGACTATCAGTGATTCGAGAGTCAGTCAGTGATTCGAGAGTGCCAACTCTCTGCAATTCCAGCCTTAGGGACAGGGTGTGGTCACATCGAAGGGAAGGATCAGGATGCTGCTCGATTAGCACAGCTCCTCAGTGTCCTAACCTACCTTCAGAAGCTTGGCAGTAACAAATAAAATACAGGTAAGGACATCATCATATTCAGGGTAAGGCAGGTGGGGACAGACCAAGAGTACCCCAGATCTCAACACCAGAAAAAGCCTTTTGGATGGCACTTAGTTCATTTTAAACTATACTGAATGGGCATTAAAGCTTAGCAATATTGTATATGCAACAGCAATGTTGTTTCGTTGTTACCATATATCTAAACTGATTGTATACTGGCTTTCAAGGTACTCTGCTTTTAATAACGGGTGACTGACTGCCATCTTATTATAGATTTCAATGCTCTTTTTACAAGAATAAGTTCATCCGTAGGTAATCTTCCGAGTATCTCCGTAAGTATCCATCTCCCTTGCAGGCATCCTGTATATTTTCTCACCATAAGTAGTTTAAAACAGCAAAGGTGTGATAAATACAATGACAAACAGCTGCAATGCAGCACTCGACTGAAACACACTGTTTAATCCCTTGTATCCAATCAACTTCGAGTCTAATTAACTCTGCTAATTGAGCTCCCGTGTTCAAAACAAATCAAATATACAAAACAACATTTCCCGTTTTCCATTACAAGAAACCATTGCGTCACTTTTTCTCATGTTTGTCCTCACGTGCAATATTCATGTTCCAATAGAGTTGTCAAGTGATGGCGTCACAAAACATATTTTTAGAATTTTCCAAATTTGTTCCCATAACCTGACAGAGCATCATGAAATACCTATAAATCTGTAAAATTAGGTAAAGGTATTACGAATTGGCTGAGATATGACCAGATGAGCACAAGCTCTGGTCCCATCAAACCTCTGTAATTTGGTCGCAGTTCATAACTTTATGAACTGAGCGAAAATAACAGTAATCCGTTAGCAAACTTCAAATCTTGCCATAGCTTACCCGATTTTTGACAAATTTAACCGATTTTGCAGCGCAGGATTAACTGAGTATTTTATGATGTTCTTTCATGTTATGCGGTCAAAATTCGAAAATTCTTAAAATAGTTTTTTTGTGACGTCACACTTGAGAACTCTATGACAATCCAAGTTCAATCAAAGAGACAGCAAAATTTCAGAATAAGCGTCGATAAAACTCTGAGAAAGTAACTAAAATAGGATGATCAACACGAAAGTCAAGGTGATCAAAAGCTAATTTTGACTAATACAACTGTCCGTCCCCAACCTCTCGAATTCGATTGTTAATGACAAATTTACAGGACAAAAAGCACCGCAAGCAAACTTACCCGACCACCAACATAAATTGGTATTCCGATCATCATTGCAGGAAGAACTACGCCTGCTGCCAATGCAATACCAACTGGTGCTCCAATTAACGTCCCCATTTGCCAAAGAACTTTCTTCTTTCGACTCCACGGCTTTTTCCCCCAAAATGTACAGCCAGATGGGCTAAAATAATGGAGACCGTTAAAAAAATAAGCAAATACATAATTGGGATACATCCAACTCGTGTTTTAGGTGTGGGTGCTGAAGACAAAGCAAAGGGCATGAAAATTTGAATGGAAAATTAAAACAAAACAAAATACGAACAGCTATCTTGTTACAAAACATTACGCTGAACATTATTGTTTCTCGATACAATGATAACTTTTCTTAAAGTACTTGATCACAAAAAAGGTCCAAACTTTAAAATTGAAGAATTTACCTTTAAACTGGTTAGAATTTGTGGGAAGTAAAGTCTTAAATTTAGTTGTTATGTAATGTTAGCTTTTGAGACGAAATTTACAACAATGAAATGAAAAATCAATAAATGGCAGTGTAGGATGCTGCTTCTTTCTAAAGTAGTTCAATATAATTTGATGAAAAGTTCAAGCAGCGAGTTGTCATTTCTCACAAGCAGTGTCCCTCACATTGATACTAAATTAAGAAACACCAGGGATCATAACAAGAAAAATAATTACTATCGTCTTTCACTATTTGGCACTAAAGAAAGAATTCAACAAGCCCATGAAAATTTACAGTTCCAGTTGATCTTAAAACTCCGATCCTTTTATCTTTTTCCTTTCGTCAGTGAGAGTTTCAAAGCTGGGCAAATCTCGGTGCTCTTCAACAACAACAAAATCAATATGCCAAGGCAACCCTCCCCTCTCACAAGGCTCCTGAGCTTCCAGTGATTGTAGACATGCCGAAAATAAACAACTTATTTAATAGCAAAGCTGAATTTAGTTGATAATAAATAGAGGTAACTGATCGAAAAACTTGGCAACTGAAAACGAAACAGCAGTCAATGACGGGGGTATCACTGAGTACATCGCCATTCTAAAATAAATTTTCAGAGCTGCTTCCAGTCACCCTGGCTCTTACCGGCATGATTTTGCATACCTATGTATAATTGCTATCAAAGTATAATTGCTGGGAAACCATGCAATATTTTACGAGAGTAGGTTTAGCTTATTATCAATATTGGCTTATAAAAATGGAGAGAAGGAGATGGGAGCCTTAGGAAAAAGAAATGAGAAACTATTTTCGTTTTTCAGCGGGCGATCAGTTAGTATTCTTGCAAAGATAAAATGAAGACACAACTTACCTGAGGTAATGAAGATCGGATATTTCTTTCATACAAAGCCAACAGAATTCGGAACCACAGACAGAACATGTCATATGATTGCAGGAGCCATCGTCCATTTTTATGAACAAAGCACCGCACCTTGGACATGGTTTCATATCCTCACTAGACGAAGCTCGTCGCTCACTTGACGACAATGAGCCTATTTCAAAGTTGTTTCGCGTGCGGGCTGAGTCACAAGTGGTATTGGGATGCCATACTTGTCGACAATGATAGCAAAACTCAGTCTTACAACCAGGTCGGTTGCATTTCAACTGCGGACAACTAGCACATCCGGATGCAATAACTGCGTACACACAATCTGGGGCCGGGCACCATCTAATATCTGGTATAGAAACAAGGGCCCTTCGTAAGGTGAATTCCTCATATTTGCCAAATAGGTGATCGTCATTCAAAATATCTTTAATATCGGACGGATGAAATACTTCTGAACATTCCGGACAACTGACCATAACTCGCCATTCCTTTATTGCCAATGTGAGGTATTGCCTAAGACATTCTACGCACGTTCTGTGCTCGCATGTGAGAAGAATAGGGAAGACTCCGACCGGCCTTTGGACAAAGCATACATTGCACGTGAGCGTCTCCTCCTGTTGCTCTCGCGGAATCGAACAAGACGCTCCGTCGTCATCGGGGCTTGCGTGTGATTTCTTCGATCTAGTGAACATCTTTCGCAAACTAAACTTTGGTTTTTTCAGGGCGACGTTCTCTTCTACGTCAGCTGCAGCCATTTCGATTTCTCGCCAGTTAACGAGATGATATCTTCTGCTAAAAAAGACATTGTCAACAACTCGTAAAAATGTATGTAACAATGCATCTAGTAATACAGTAAGGAAAATAGTTTCTGGAGGTTAAATGCAAACTATTAAAAATTGATGAAATCCGCTTCATATATCTTTTAAAGGCAATGATATTACGAAGACTTATTTCGTAATTGCGTTTGACAGTAGTTTCAGTAAAAAAACGATATAAAATGAAGACCAAGCAGAAGCTTGTAAAACTATCCTGTATTAAAGCAACACTACCTACGAACTTACATAATCACACATGCACATTTCAAGAACTTGCGGGCATCTAGCCAATACTCCCAATGGATAGCTAAAAACTTTGGCATAAAAACTCTTAACGGTACACAGAAACTTACTCTTTGCCACATTCACTTTCGTGGCATATTTAAACATAAAGAAAAATAAACCAACTAATCAGACAAATCATCACAGATTAAATGACCGATAGCTATAAAACTAACCACACAAAATATCAGCCGCATCCAAAAGAGAATAATGATGTTGCCGAAGCTTGCTTGAGTTCGTTACCTTTATTCATAAATCATTTTGCAGAAATGACCACGGATTCGTTCTCCACATGGCATGTACAGAACTTACCATCTGTCCGTTGATAAGCATATGGTCACATGCGAAAAACCTCAGTCTTCATTTTAATTATTAAATCAGTTTTTAAATTGCAATTTCCAAATCGAAATGGACTGCGGCCACTCTCTTTAAATGTTCACCTATCTCTGGCAACTCACTCACCCATTCCATTTTACCCACTCTCTACGCGAAATATCTACGCAATGCTAACTAGAGCCATAATTCATTACATCTCGTTACCTGATAACCATAAAAAAATACCTATGAAAAAATTAAGAAGAAGCCTCAATACCGCTTAAACTGCAAAAAAGCTTAAACATTACGTAGAAGATCGCGCAGATGGTTCCACATTGTATCCCGTCTTTTCACACTGGAGATCTCTTCTCGACCTTTTCCGGCCTTAGACGAAGAAAACTCGACAACCAGCTGCATTTGGCTTGCACACTTACGTACAACATAGTTGAGACATGCTTCAGTCTCGCAGTACGGTAGTTAAAAAGGCTAAGTAACATCTTCCAAAAGGGTACTTCCCAAAAATATACTTTTTCTACTTCTAAATACTTTAAACTGCCAAACTTTATATATCATTAAACTGCAAATCATTATAAAATAGCAATTGTTTTTGCGACAAATTTGATCAAGCAAACAGAAGACCTATCCGACATGAAAACAACCTGTTAGCTAATGAATCCGCTTTGGTTGCGAAAACGTCAAAAAGAAATGAAGTAATGAAAGCGAAAATGAACCAGTTCCCTTCACAGGAAATAGAAATAACGAATTTCATGAAAAAGATTGTATGAATAAAATAACATAATAAGATATTCTCTGCGTCACTCTCCCAAAGCATAAAATTGGGGATGATGACAAAAGGTAAATTATATCCAAGTCCGGATCGGAAATGAGAGCCACAACGAATGGCCTATTTCATTGGTTTTTTTGCTTTGGCCAATCAGCGATGAATTATAATAGGAGAAAAGTTAAAACAGGCAAACAATTTCAAGGCTGATTACCACCAGGCGACATTGCAGATAACCGCATCGAGGCATGCGCAGATTGATTTTTGGCTTCGCATTTAATTCGCAAGAAAGTTGTCCTACATTTACATGACAAAATTATTCGTTAGTAGTCCCGCAGAGTTAATTTGCTTGATTACCTAGAAAAAAATCTACGAAGATTCGACATGGCTGCAATTTTGAAACTGGATGGCCAAAAGTTTAGTCTGATTTTCTGATAGTCTGAATTTGCCTCGTGTAAATCAGCCCAAGGACCGAGATACCGGGGGGCCGGGGGGACTTGGCCCCACCAAAAAATTAACTGGTATAAGTAAAATGCTTTTATTTTGTAAAATGTGGCTGCTTTTATATTTATTTATCAAGGCTGGCCCCCCAAACAGAAAGCCTTTACAGCGTGTAGCCTCTTAAACCAAAAGAAAAACATTTGGTTCGTGAATTTACTAAAATCGAATGACAAATGTGAGTTATCTAGGGAATACAATTTCTGTTTTTTCGCGTAATCGAAATTCCCTTTTTTCGGTGTTCCACATCATCAAATATCCGTGAGTATTAAAAAAGTTCAGTATTCTGAATATTAAAAGATGTGAATACCCAGCTGTAGAACGCTAGAATCCTTTTACAAACAAATTAAAAAAACCATTGTCTAATTAGAAAAAGTTCGTTTAACTTTGCACTTTATTGGTAATATTTTCAATAGGCAAGCGGTGCTTATATTGGGCAAAATTTACAGTCCATTGCTCGAGATTGGCCTACTTCGTTCCACAATTGAGTATATATAAAATTTCTAGCTCAGAATTCTTCAAATAATGTTCAGGAATTTTATTCTCTGAGAAGTATCAGACGAAAAGCTTAAGTATGTTTACAATGCTCGCTTTCTTTAAAACAATTTTTAAACTTTCTACCGTCAAAAAACGTACTGAATGGAAGACAACAGACAACTCAGCTCGTCTCCCAATTCCTAACATGCATCAACCTCTGTCATCACTGGTAGGTACTTATAAACTGACATAGCTGAGCACTGTGATTCACTGCAAGTTGTCTAACTTTCTTTTGGAAAAAAAGTGTCAAGTGAAAGACTGATGGTAACAAGTTTTCACATTTTAAAATTTTGTGTTCTTCTCTGTTGAATAATAAAGGTATACTAATGCGAAATCTTGAATTTCTAAAACTCAATTTACAGATCTTCAAGTTGAACTTCTACATGAAAAAATCCCAGAAAATGTTTTTAGATACATAATATCAAACTATTTGATTTTGAAACCACTTAGCAATTACTTTATTTGTCTCATTATCAGCCTTAAATCAATGTAAACTGTGAACATTAGACAGCAATGTGTTTGTTGGAATAATTAAAAATAATAAGATACGCTTTACTTTGCTTGCAGCTGGACCTTTTCTTTCATCTTCATTTCAATTTCAACTTGCTATTTGCTGAACTCAGCTGCTATTATTCACACAAGCTAAATTTCTTTTGTGAGAGATCAATGCAAGATTTATCACTCAAACTTTTCCAGCTACAGAAACAATGTTTAATAACCTAAATTTCAAAATTGAACAAAAAAGCAGGTGTTATTGCTTTCAGTCTGACTACATAGAATGCAAAATATCAGATAATGTTCTAAATTTTACAGAAATTAATATTCAACTACAGATCAAAAGAATTTTGAGAGGAGCAAAAGCACTTTTGATTTGATAAATTATTTTACAAGCAATGAGCCACTGCATTTTTTATGACCAATCAACCACTTCCCCAGAATATAAACTCCTGTTAACCTTTTTTCAATTATTGAATGTTTTTACTCTCTGATGAGTGTCAGAAAAATTAATATTACAGAATCACTGTATATCAATGTCAGATAAATTCCTCAAGCCTTTAATTTTCCCCAAAACAAAAAGATAAATGCACAAGAAAACATACATAAAAACAGTAGTTAGTCAAATTCACAAAACAACAACAACAACAAAACATCTACCTACAAATGAGTTAGTTCCCTGCGCATTGATATATCTTTTCAATTTCAAGGACTTTCCTATATTTTCTTACTTCCAATACTAAGCAGATTTACTATCACTGGCACTCCACAAAACAAGTAATGTTATGTTAAAAATATGATTAGCATTAAACAATTGAAAAATTACCAAATATATATTTTTCATTTCATCAAGGAGTTTGAACTGAACACAAACAACTGTATCTATTGTCAAGTGCTAAATGCAATGCAATTGTAATAACTAGCAAACCGCTAAAGAACAAGACATAAGTAACAACCTTATCTTAAAAATAAACATAAAACTTTGAATCAGAAAATGAAAACTTTTCAAAACATAAAATAATTTTGCAAAACAAAATGGTTAATGATTTCTGTTACAATTAGACTCTCTATTGTCTTTTTTCAATGCAAAAAGTCTTGACATAAACTGAAAAGCTAAAACCAATAGCTAGCAAACCACCATCACTAAATATCCTTCAGATTTTAGACAATAGAGAATGAACAGAACACAAAAATAACTTCAGCACCCAAAATTAAAAATTAAATACATTGATTGTGTGTCCATAAATATTTTAAAAGTAAGGGCTACCAGGCACCAGCAAGCAAGTGGGCTGGGAGGCTCTACCACCCCACCTTTTGCCATAATACAAACAATTAACCAATGACTCACCAGTCAAGCCTCTTTTTATTTGGTTCTAGCCTCCCACACTTTTGTCAGGGGTGCCTGGGTACAGGAAAGGGAGGAATTGCCACCTCTGTGAGCAGCTTTACTTCTGTTTCTGAAAATTTGGGGCCCCTGTGTGCCCAATGCCTTCTATAGTAGGTTATATAGCAATTGGAAGATTTGTCTAAACCAATAAAAAAGCAGCAGAACAGCTAAGTTATAGCTAATGTCGAATAATTTTATCTGCAGTTCCGGGGCGGCGCAATGGGGTGGACATGTCCACCCCACTTTTTTTAAGATTGACTTTCTAATTTTTCCAAAACTGGATTTGATGGTCATTCATTTTGATGGTCAGTTATGGTCCTTTTCAGATTAAGCTGACATAGAGTATGGTGTGTTGGATCATCAGTTCTGTAAATAGTGTGAAACTATAATGAAGATTACCTATAAAACACAGGTTTATCGTGCTACACAGTGGGTTCTTAGAGTGGGATCTTTGTTAAAGATTTTTGGCAATAATTAACTTTAAAACTTGTACCAAAACTTTTTTAGCTGCAAGGATACTATCAAGCCCGTAGCCAGGCCTGTGGAGGAGTGGTGTCAAACTCGCAATGTCCAGGAATCAGGCAAAGTTTAAAGTGAAGTTATTTGTAAATGTAAGCAATGTGAAATCTGTCGTAAGTCCTACATGGATAATAAGGTACCCCAATAAACAATTTTCCTTGACTCAAATTTTCACGACAATCCAATAAAACAAAACAAAAACCATTAACGAGATTGGACACAAAAGTTTTGGAGATGGCAAACAGCCGGTATTTTCATTTTCCAGGGGTGGCATTGCGGCCTGGATACTATAGTTGGAGCTCAATGACATAGAAGCACCGAAGGCGCTAGATGTCTATATCGCAGGTATGCTGTGAGGCAGATTTGTTTACTTCTGCCATTTTGAATAGCGGGAAAAAGGAACTTGCTCCATACTGAGCCCTCATAAAGTTGGTAAAAGTAAGGATTGATTTCATTCACTTCTCTTTCGATTATTGATGTGAAATTTGGCGAGTGGCCTAATATTGCACTTAAATTTAAGAATTGATGTTAATATTGGAAATATAAGCCAAACTTTGAAAATTCCAAGCATTTACAGTCACTGTGCTTGCTATGGTGTTTTCTGTTCCGTCAAAATTTCAGAAAATAATAGTTGATCTGTTTTAAAATGGATCCAGCAACAATTTTCAGCCACTCTATGCATTATTTTCTTAACACATTTGTACAAAGATGTGATTTAGTTATTTTTTCTTTCTTGGTTTACAAAAACTGCATTTGCTTAATTATTTTAGCTTTAGATATTTTTATTATATCACTTCTGCTTTTTACTCAACTTGCTTCAATTAAGATAATCAGTAAGACTATGTTTTAATGATTGGCTTTGCTTGATGTCTTTGGAACCACTGTTTCTTCATTTAAATTGTACTGAGAAAATTGTTGACTTACTTCTATCATAAACCATGTCTATTACAATAGAAAAAAATCCCTCTCTTTTCTTGATAATAATTCCTCATGATAATAAGCAGAAAAAGCCAGTGCACATTTTCTGGTTTGAAAATATGTCACCTATCAAACATTTCATTTGATTTTAATGAGTTAGTAGAACAAAGAAAATTTATAGTTCTTGCAAACAGGTTGTGAGCAATGTTTCATTTGACAAAGAAGCTCACTCTAATGTTCCTATGACATATCGTTTTGCTAACCATTTTCTAATTTTGTTACATCTTTGTCACCCTGCAAACTGAAAAAGACAATCATTTGTTTAATGTGAGGGTTTGCAATGCAAAAGAGCCAATATCATTGCAAGTTTTCCCCCTAATTTACTAAAGATTTGTCTTTATTCTAGATCTCCTTTTATTGCTTGTGAAATATGATATAAGAATATATTTTACAGGCAGATTGGCAAACTGTGATACCAGATAAAACAATTTAATGCTGAGACCCCTTATTCAGGCCTTTGTGTTCATATTTTTGATGCCAGAAAATAGTGTTTTTATTCAAAAAGGTTTTCTTGTAGATGCAGCCAAATTGGTTTTAATTGTTAGTATATTATAAAGGAAAAAATAAAACTTGTTTGAAAATTGTTGAAAATTAAGGATGTTAATTAATAAAGTAAGAAAATTAATTAATTTTTTTCCTGTTTTGGCAAAATGTTTTGGCAATCATTGAGCTACTTGCTAATTAGAGTAAATTATTCCATGAATTTGACAGAAAATGTTCAAATTTTTACCCTCAGACAAGCATGTATGAATGAATTGAAAGCAGTTTCAAGAAAAAAATGTTTCAGCTTTCAGCATGTGTAATAAGTAAAAATAAATAATATTTATTTATCTTAATAACAATAAAGATGAATACTGGTATTTTCCAACTTTTGTGACAATTCAGTTAAAACACTCTTATGCTCAAATTATGTCCTCAAACTTAGGAAGAGTAAGGTATGCATGCTGAATGAGAATTAAATTTACCCAAAATAATATAATGATAAAAAAGTTTCTCAGTTTTGGATGAGCCAAACAAAACTTTAGATAATCTGTTTTGTTTGGCTCCTCAAAAGTAAATGTCTTTGGGTCAATATTTCAAATTTTAAACTTTCTGAAGACCACAGGAAACCAATTTTGAACAAAGATACGTTTTATGCCACTGAAATTGCTTATCGGTTTCGTGTTCTTATCGGCCAAAGACATGACAAAATTTAATTCAACGACTTGCTGGAGTGAGACAATATTACAAGCAGTTTCTGGTAAAGTCGTCGGAATTAACGTTTCTCTTCTAACAATTAAGACCTATTAGATTTAGAATTCGAATTCCTGTAAAAGGAAAAAAACTTGAATTCATTCATAACCATCCTATTTCTGCGTTTCTACGGAACTGGTTTCTACGGAATTTTCTCGTAGTACAATAACCAAACGACAGACAATAAAGCAGCAAGTACATCAATACATAGAAACTGTTACATACGACAATATCCCTCGGGTGTACTGGCAGCTTGCCGGTAGAGAAGAAACTTTCAAAACACAACAACTAGAAGTGGAGATGTCAGATGGTCTCTAGGATTTGCGTCGCCAAGTCAACTTACTTGCAATTAGCTTGCTTGCCAACTAACTTAAAATATAGATACACAAATTCAAGTAATAAATACACATACCTTACTGATGAAAACGGCTCGATTCTACCATGAATTACCTTGATTATTACACAGCACAAAATGTCGTCTGGAGGGAGCCGAATATGTTGCGTTTCACTTTGTAGTAGTTATTAAGATAATCAGCTGAAATCAAATGTCCATAAAATGTTTTGTAAGTTTTACAAGTGGCGTTTGATATCTTTTCAGGTATCATTTACCTTCAAAATGGTCAGAAAAACGTCTATCAGTTCTCTTAATCCTACAGTTACTTGCCTTCCATCCTCGCCTTCCTTCTATTTGTTTGCATCATTTTATTGGGAGTCTGGGCACTAGAATTCCTGAAATTTCATCTGCTTCGGTTCCTTCGCTGTGAAAGGCTCCTCCGTCATCCTCTAACAGCTGCAGGTGTAAAACACGAACCTCTGGCGTAGAAGAGAAGAGAGCAAGGCAAGCAAAAAGGACTGGCTTTAGAAAGGGGCTATGGCACGGACGCCGAAGCACATTCTAGAGTGGGTGGGTGGGGGTCTAGAAAACTGGGGGGGGCCTTATGTAGATTGCCACCATTATATTTGATGCTACAACCTTGGTATCATACTTTAGCAAAAAATGGGGGATACAGCCCACCCAGCCCCCCCGGCTCCGGCGTGCCTGTATGGGGCTGCAGTCACCCACCAAAAAATGCTAGCTCCGCTCTTGCAATATCGATAATCTATTTTAAACCATCCTGTAGGTTAAGTCAGCCCCCTCGTCAGAAATTCTTTAGCAGTTTCCAGCGCAACATTCACATGCAATACAAATGAAAGATATACAGGAACAAATCTCACATTTCAAATTCATTCACTCGTTCGTTTCATTTACTCTGATGAAGCCCTGTATGCTGGGGCGAAATATTAGTATATTTTTTAAATGTGATTTATTTTGAAAATTTTATCTCGTGACATGGGATTCTCGTCGTCGTATTGCTTTGTCCCTGTATATCTTTCATAACAACACTCATTGCAAGATTCACAGAATCCGGCGGACAGCCTATCCTGCTGTTCTTCCTTCTTACACCAAAGATACTATTCCAGTATCTTTGCTTACACAATACAAATGAAGCTCTGTTAAAAAATGTATCTTAAGTTTCAGTTGAAAGAATAATTTGTGCGTGGTTTCTACAAAACTTGACTGCAGTGTACTGCAATCTCTTTAGCTTTGGCAACTGTGAGCAAGAGATTTAGTAGCAAGACCTCGGGACGTTGAGCACCGGCAAGGGGTTGGTTTCAAACTCAGTTCTAGGTCAATTAAGGGTCTTTTTTAAAGTCCTTATGCAACCAAATAGTTCTAATTTCTAATTTTTAAACCATTAATGGCAAAAAGAAAACAGAATTTGGAAATTTTGTATACTTTCTCGTAATCTATCTTTGAAGCTGTGATATCTTACAAAAATTCTTCTTACAAAGAAAAATATTAAAGATTCTGATGGTGTAGCGACTGCTAAAATGTGTGCATTCTATCCTGGCCCACGGAAGCTTTCCTAAGGCCAGGGTAAAAGAAAAATTGGCCTGAGATGATATCATTAAAACCGTTGTTGCTTCTGTTTTTGGTAGGATGCAAAGTTACCATGTAAGCAAGTTATGCGATAATTGTATCAGAAAATTATGCCATAGAAAATCATACTAAACATACTATAGATAGACTACGAATACATCGAAAACAAATTAGACTGTTTGCAATTAAAATCTTATTATAACTTAGCCCCTCCTAAGGTAGGCCTGATCTTACCTGGTGCGCATTTGAAAAAAAATCATAGAAGTCAAAATTTGACCAAAAGAAGCTATTATTTGATTACGTACCCGGCTCCGACTCTCAGATATCGTTTAAGTAGCCTATGCTCTTTCTTCCTGACGTTGAAGTCTATTTTTCTCATAGAGTTGGGAATTCCTAACTCTATGACTTTTCTCTATCAAGTTTTCAAGTCTTATACCAAGGAAACCCGAATGGAGGTGGTTAATCTTAGAAGTTTAATTTTTGTTAAACGTATCAAACGATGCAGTTAGTTATTAAATTATGCCATTTCTTCAATAAGTCTTTAGTAGCCTTCTTTTTATCACTGTTATAAAAAAACTCCTCTCTCCTGAGATAAACATCACAAAGCAGGCACCGCGGAGAAAGGGGCTGGGGCCTCAAGCCCCACTTTTGCTAGAAATGTACGATATTAAGAAAGGAACCATGGGTAAAGTCTCTTTTAATTCGGTTTTGGCCACCCCCTTCTTTAGAACCCCCCCCCCCATTTTTCACAGCGCTCTGCGGTGCTTGCAAAGAAGAAACAAATGCCATTTTACCTTGAAGATACAAGACACATGACGCTTTGGTTGAAGTCTTACAGTGTGAATTGCCTCTGTGTGAATCAACAGCTTCTATTAAAATTGAGAAAAATGTACTAGCTGAATCACCGTATAGAGAAAAAGCAATGCTGCTTTGCTAAAGATGGAAAATTTTTTAGGCTTTCAGCCGAAAACCAGTAACGTTACAAGTGAGGCCCAGAAAGATGGCGTTTTTATCGATTTGGACAGCATGGAAGGTCTATGGGTAGTGACAACGTACCTGCGAAAGGACTGGAACTAGTCTTACAGACGTACCACGTTCCTTTCAAAGGGGGATTGGTTGATGGAAGAAAGAGGATGACTACGTCATCACATATCAAAGGGAGGGAATGGGTACATTTTCTAAGTGCGACTGCTGGGTAATCTGAGCAGTACTGTTTCTTGAGTGGATTGTGAAGTGCTTTTGCATTGAAATGAATATTCATTGTTATCTTGGATTATGAGTACTGTAATCAACGAGCTAAGTGACAAAGTTAAAGGAAAAGAAACAACCGACCGGTTAAGCAAGGAGACCGTCCTTGGAGCTAAATATGGGAACACGCCTTGCATGCAGAAAAGGTCGAAAGGCAATTCGAGTAGGAAGAAAGGAGATATTGCGAATAGCTTGCAGATTAACCATGGTTCAAAACGGTCAACGCAGTCCAATAGAAGAGTAAGGAAATGCAAAAATAAAGGAAACAGAAGAGATAACGATGCTGATGACGAGAATTTGTCTCCTGGAACGAAGCAGTCTTGGCGATCGAGATGTGGACGTAAACGAAAGTACTTTGGATATACTTCTGCAAGGCAGGGCGCAACTAAGCGAGAAAGAAATCGCTTTAATACTATAAGCAGTGCTTTGGATGAACTTAGAAAAGTTATCCCGCAAGCCCAACATCCAGTTGACGGTAAACTATCAAAGTTCGCGACACTAAAACTGGCTTGCACTTATATTTCTTTGCTGACTAACGCGCTGTGTTCGGAAGAAAAAATGGTGGAGGTCGGTCAGGAAATGGGTATTTCTCATGTGCCTTCACATTGCAGATTCACTGAGTGTGAAAAGGATTCCCAGATAAACTCCGGACTGAGTGAGGATGAACTTTTCATAGGAGATTTTACTGATGTGTTGTTGGTAGATGACGACCAAGAAACAGTCAGTATCTACGATCAACTAACAAAACACTCCTTGAGAGAGGAGGCCGAACACAATTCAGATTAGATGAGGACTGGGCGAAGCCTTGTTGTTTTCAGCGTTTATGAATCATGTATGCTTGTCAGTGCAAACATATTCAAGGAATTTTAGCGATAGATATCATTGATAGAATAAGAAATTTTGGGTAATTAAATAAATATTGTATTTTTAAAATTAATTTAAGCAATTATTCGTTACTTGAAAAATGCACAGGTCAAGCCAGATGCAAACACCATTATGAAATCGTTATCTTACATTTGTTATGCAGGATATTGCGATTAAGGCCATGAACTAAATGCTTGTTCCCAGATGAGTTCCAGATAAAATTTTAGGTACTATTAAATACAATGCAACTAGATGAAATAAAATTTCTGTGTGAAATTCATAAGAAACTTCAAGTCATGTCTAATCCGAGAGACGAATGTCTCTGTTCATTATCAATTTTTGGGACTCGTCCTGGTATCATGATGTGCTTTGTGTATTTATTTTGTTCAAGTTTAAGAATAACATTTAGTAGTTTGAACAATACCCGTTTGAAACGAGATAATGAAGAGACTTATCAATTAATTTCCAAGAAACGTTCAGAGAAGGCTTACTTTTATGTTCACTAATAGTGTCTACAGTCAACTCAAAATATCAGTAAACACGTACTGATTGATTAACGGTTATTTTTGAATTTTTATATAAAGGGCCTAGAAAGGAAGTATAGACCCTATCTTTGCTGAATGTCCATTCCCTAGTTACATTAACATATTAAACTGTTTGCTTATTTAAAATAAATGAATGGATATGTTTTGATATATCTTGCTTATTAATTTGTATCGTGTAGTTCTTTTGATGCCTTTCCAGGATGGTTTTTAAGCGTGTTCCTTTTCCTTTCAAAAACAGTAACCAATCATTTGCCGAAACTAGACTAAACTTTTTATTTGATTTACCATAACCCTGGCAAAACATATTTTCTAAACCACAATCAATCCATCAGATATTTATTATAAAGCAAAGGACATGCTCATAACTCTAGGGCCTTCACGATTGCGTAAAATAAGAGGTGTAAAAATCCCAAAGTTGTTAATTAAAGGAGAGAAATGGTAATTGGCCTTGTAATTTCAAGTGGTTTGTTTTATCACAGCACTCGTTTGATATTGGCATTGTACGAGAATCGGCGACAGCAACAAAGGCATAAAACAATATCCGAGTTTACACGAGAACACAATACCTGTCTTAAAGATGAATTAGCTTAGGGATAGGTGAGACCGTTCTGTTAACTGTGTGCTACTTTCACAACGCAGTTTAACAATTTTTGTTACAAATACTTCTAGGTACAATTGCTGACGTATTTATAAAAGATCCATTATGCAAGCTAGCACAAGCTGTAAAAAGGTTGTGCTAAGCTTTAAGGATTCCAAAAAAGTAACCATGACATAGTTTAGAATAAATAGGAGCCAACATTGGTGGGCAAGACTGAAGTTTTTGCTATTCGTTATTTGTGATTTACACAGATTCTTCTATTTGGGAGTAATGGGGTATTTAATGAACTGAATCATTTTGGTAATAAGCTTTATGATGAGAATCCAAAGCTATAAACTTTAATGTATCAAAATAAAGCTCATTTTTTAGCATTTTTCCTTAGATTGTCTTGCTCTTTTTTCGTATGCATATTGATTCTAATGAATGTATTTTATAAATTACAGTACAGGCTGTGTGTGTGGCTGTTGCCCAGGGGAGTCACACAAGCTTTTTATATACGGGGAGCTCCATTCGCTGTTATCAAGGCTTACCAAAAAGTATCTAAAATAAATTTTAACGCCGAAAATGATCAGCTAAAAAGTGTGGATAAGATCAAAAATATCAAAATACAAAATATTATCAATGAGCACATCAGAGACCACTAGTTATTATAATTTAGATCATTATAATTTTCTTATCGACTTAGACTGTTTTTCATATTGTTATGCGCTAGTTGAACCCATAAGTATCAAAAAAGTATATTGCTAAATCAGGCAAAGACCGAGATACGACATTCTTTTTGGGGGGGGCAGCCCTGATAAATAAGTGTAACAACAGCCATATTTTACAAAATAAAAGTATTTTGATTATGCTACTTAAAGTTTTTCTAGGGGGCAAGGTTCCCGGCCCCAACCCCCCCCCTGCCCCCGGTATCTCGGTCCTAGAAACCAGGTACCTAAAAGTATTAGATCACAAGGAAAATTCTTACCCATAATTATCGTATTGACCCCCCTGTATATAAAAAATTCGAATTACCCCATTGGGGTCGCTGTAAACTTATGTTTGGTCCAATACTAAAACTGGTTGCAAAGTTTTTGTAGTTGCAGCAGAGTTACCTACGACTTTTGATTATCCTCGGCTGTACTTGAAAAATCGACCACCAATATTTGTTAATCTATTTGCATGCATAATTAATTTTTTTTATTCCAGCGACAAATCAAAAGGAGTTACTTTAATATGCATACAACACAATGCATATTAATCAAGCTTCAAGGAAATTAAAAAAAATCAGTGAATTTTTTCACACAAAATTACAAAAATTCTGTTTTGTTTCTTGTTTCAAAACTGTCTACTGGCAACAATCTATCTTTCTAAACTATAAATTTAATTCGTTTTTAAGAATAATCTATTTTGAAAAATATCTATGAATTTAAGTAAATTTTCTAGGAATTAATAATAGATTATTAATAGACGACGTTTCGAGCTATTTTCTATTATATTGTACAGCATGTAATCTAGTTTACTTATGGAATTTTTTTGGACGCTATATTTAAGGGTCAATATCAAAGGACTTAGTAAAGAACTTTTGATATAAAGAGTAAGGGGCATGACACTTCGGTTTGAATTGGAGATGCTTCAGTGATATGCTAAAGATTTTATGTCAATCGATACCAGAAGTCTACTTGTTTGGATTTGCAAAACACAATACCCAGCAAACATACATGTTTTATAAACTAGGCTTTTTCAGAGAGCCTAAAATTCTCAGCAACCTTTGAATGTAAAGTAAAATACAGTTTGAAATCAACATGATGTTGAAAGTGGCATGGGAAAGGTGAATTACAGAGTAGCGAGTATCCCCCATTCTGCAGTGGAATATGGATGCGTCAGGCCACAACTATTTGCGTTAGAAGGCAACAACAGTTTAGATGAAAATTTTGAAAATGATTTTCCTTTTAGCACTAGAATAATGTCTCCATCTAAGAATTTTTTTGACGGTCATGGGGCGCGGAAGAATTTTTCAAAAATTGATAAATTAATTGAAAAACAAATTCAAATTAGTGTTTCCTTTTTCTGTCAGATCTTTTCTCTGCATGTTTTCCCATGGTAAATGACAGACTTAGTGACGTATTAACAGTATTCTAATTATCGAATTCTTTTTGTAGTCGACCATCTGTCGAAAATACAACTCCTACTGCAGAAATCTCGTACTGCAACCGAGGCATGTTGCCAAGGAAACCTACCGCCCGCGCTGTAATAAGTGCTTACACTTTAAATAATAAATGCTTGCTATGTCAGTAATTATATAACGAGAACAACTACTTTCTTAACCTGAATGGGGGAGAGGGTTAAGTATCACGTTTTGACATCATGGGATAATAAATTTTCAACACAATCTTATCACTTTGACACATTTGAACAGTGGAATATGATCAGGGAGAAAAAAGAACATGAAAAAGCTAATCACTGCAGGCACTGCACAGCCATCGGGCTAGCAGGGAATAAAGCCCCCCTCCCCACTTTTTGCAATAATAGGCTGGAAAGTTTTTCAAATGGTTTACTCTAACGCAACTTTGGATAGTTTATTCCTATGTTGTAGCAGTTATTTTTGACTGGAAATCTTTTTTGTTCATTTTCTAGGTGTTTTATCTTGTTTTATGATATTGTGTATTTTCTAACTTGGTTAGCTTGATGTTCTATTACCCTCAAACTAATTTCATCTATTTGTAGAGTTATTAATATCTTCTCTGAACCAGAACCACACAATAAAAAGTGAGTAGAAATAAGCAAGTATTTTCTAAAAGTGGCGTTTTCCGGCGTTGCCTTAAAATATTTTACAGCACCCATTTTAGCCCCTCCACTTTTAAACTGGTGCGCGGTTCCTGAATCACTGCAATAACTTGTAGTGGAATTCCTTCTTATTTCTTTACAATCAATGCAGCCATGCCCGAGAGAGCTCAATTCTTTGAAAGATGGATCAAAGTGCAAGGAACAAGGGTCAGTATCAAATATTGACAAAGTATCTTGCTGAAAATTTGGTAGCAAATGGCTTTTACAGGTCTATAGGCCAAAGTAAAAGACAGTGAAAGCATTGTGAATGATATAGAGGCTATGCCTCTCTCTAATTTTATAGCTTATACTTTTTCGATGGAGTTTATTGTCCCCAGTCTTGTTGACAGCCCTGTTTAATTAAGGCACAAGATGCGGAAATATGGCATCATATGCCTAGTAATTCCTAATGATAGAAAATCTAGCAGCAAAAGCCTAGAGGTCGCAGAAAGTGGTTGAAGAAACATTTAACGCAAAAAGGAGGTAAGTTGAATTAAAATTCTGATTGTAACACATGCTTCTAAATATCTAATTGCTCATTTACTTTTCATTAATTTAAATACTAGTCAACAATAATAATAATCATACATTATAAGTTACAACACCCCTTAGTTTCTTATACTTTATACCTATTACGTTTTAAAATCATTTCCAATTCTTTTACCATGAGTTATACTTCTCGATCAACACTATCTGTGATGAGTTATACCTACACTAGTGAGATTTTGAGATCTTGCAGAGTTCCAATTTTATTCTTATTCGTAAAGTAAAATGACCTTTTTTACTTCTTTAAATTGCAGCAATCATAGGTTGATTTATTCTTCTTTAGTTCCTATTGCAATTTTTACACTGGCAGCAACCAATAAATTCTGCTTGGACAGAATTGCTTAAAACTTTATATCAACGCGTTTTATTTAGAATATATTCATACAAAAACCAAACAAGAGGAAAACTTGCTCAGGAAGAATAGATAGACCGGGGAAAAGGCAAAGCAGTTAGTCCAATATAGAGTATAGTAAATGAACAGATGACTAGTTCTTCTTGAGTGTCTGCAAAGCTTCAGTCAAGCTGTTTGAGCGTGCATGGTCTTCTTTGGTCATTGCCTCTCATATGAAACCATTTGTTCATAACTGAAAGAAAGAAAAATCAATAATCCGAGGTCATGACAGCTGGTGAACAGTGGCTGGTTGGAAGTTTTGTCTCATATGTCGTGGCGTAATCTACCAATCCATACCAGACCATGCCATACCGGGCCGTGCCATACCAGATCGTGCCATACTGGGCCGTGCTTTACCGGACCGTACTATCATGGCAACATTTTCACTACCGTAAATCCTTGAATTGCTCCCCCCCCTCGGAAAAGCCTCCCTCCCTCCCTCCCTCCCTCCCTCGAATAAGCCTTTACCCTAGAACTACAAATTGTCAATAAGCCCCCCTCGAATAAGCCCACACTGCTACTGTAAATTCTCCAATTGGACCCCTCCATTTGATGATTTTTGCCATCTGAGGTTGCCTATGGCGTTTTATTGAATTACCACAACAAATTCATACTTTTGGTAGTAATTATATGAATGTTCATAAAGAAATTCCTACTAAAATAAACGAGGTCTTTTAATAATGTCTTCTTAATGTCTACAATAATTTTATAAGCCCCCCTCTCTCGTATAACCCCCCCTCGAATAACCCCATCCAAAAATATAAAAAATAAATAAGCCCTCAGGGGGCTAATTCGAGGATTTACGTTACTTAAAGCAGGTACTGCACGACGTGACTAGCATGAAACAAATTCCCCTTGCAGCTCGACGGTGTCGTACTCTACCGAAAAGGTTTCTCGTTTTGGTAGACCAGTTAGACTTATGAATATGAAACCAAATCCAGTTGTGCCGCACAACGCTATTCTCACGCAAGAAAAGCTGAAGATAGGACTATAAACCTATACACATTGAATTCAATTATTCTTAATCAGCTTTTAGCATTTGAAATGCATTTGTTTTTAAGTTATGTATTTGTTCTCTTTGTTTGTAATATCAGTTTTTAACAGACCCCCTTTAAATCAGATTTTATCATATGTGGTGATGCTTTGTACAAAGAAGCTCAAATGAAATTTGAAGTAAAACATACAATGTCTTATTGCAGCAAACAGATTTGTTAACATGAGAGTGTGCAGTTTATCGTTAGCCATTTTGCCTGAAGTTCAGGCAGGAAGTGCGCATGCACGTCTAGGGTGCGGTGTAAAAGGAAAATGATGGAAAAGGCCTAATCCTCTACGAATAGCTTAGCGATTTCAGGCTTGAATATATTATATACAAAATCACAGTACAAGAAAGCGCGAATTAATTATTTATGCATCCTTTGCGGTGAAAAATATTCCTTATCTGCGAGATTTTCAAAGTTTATCCGGAATGGTATGGGAATTGATCATACATTACACAGCTGACAGTAGAAAAATTCCTTAAAGTTAATAGTCATTGGTAAAACAGACGCATATTGAAATGGAGGTGCTCTTCTATTCACAGTGATTTGTTGGATTTACTTTGAGATTCTCTGTTCTTTAGCAAATTTGACTGTGTTCCATTGTATGATGTTATAACTGAAAATTTTAATTTTTTCATGGTTGGTTATTACCTAGCCAAGTTCTTTTGTCGTAATTTTTTTCAAAACTGAAACGAAATTCAGCATATGCCGCAACATTCTATTGACAAAATCACGCTTCTAAGTCTGAAATCCAATTTTGTTCATGGCAGGTTTTTGTTAGCTCGTTCCTTAAACACTTTCTAATCTTTCTCTGCAGAGGACTCAGAGAACTGACTTATTACACGAAATTTTAAAATGAAAAGAAATTTCCACCTTTTTGATCTGTTTCGTTGTCATCAGCCGTCATTGCTTTAAATTAGAGCTGGTTTTGAATTTTGTTTGCCGTTAATTACAAAGAAAATAAGACAATATCAAATCTTACCCCATTTGGATCCTGAAACAACGGGGCAAGAAGCATGCTCTGTCCGCCAATCACCTGTGTTGTTTCGGTGTAAATTGAACCAAAATGCAGCATCGCCCTAATAAAGAGTTCAATTTATGTACAGTGAGTGGATTATTCAAAAGGACAAAATCGGACATAAGAATGACCATATAAGTTCTTAATAAAGTATCAATTTGTTATCGTTATGAAATGGATTGCTGGCCAATTTAAGTTCAAGAATTCCATAAGTTTAGGATGTTATGTCGTGGGCTAGAAAACTGTGATGTGATGGATAGGTAGGGTGCTGATTTGGGGGTCTTATGTTTTTTGCCACTGTACTTCGACAAAACGTATATGAATGCATTTCTTTGATGGTTGATAACACCAAACTTGCCTTTTTTCATTGCTATACTTTATTTTTTTCTAGATAAATCAAATAGACATTGGTTCAGGTCAACGACTGCGGAGAGCAAGCAGACAGAGGTGAAGCTAAAAGAATGAAGAGGTGAAGGCTGTTGGAGGTGAAGATTCCCAATTGTTGTTTCTAAGGTGTGACTGTAGGCAATTATACAACGTTGCTGTTTTCAGCGAAATCTTGAGTCATTATACAGACAACCTTCTGAGGCAGGAATGGATACATTCTTGAAGTTTAAAACATAAAACAAACCCAAAGTTAGGGGTATGCATTATCCCCTTTATTCCCTTTGGCTGCACCCCTGCAATTTAAATAGGAATCTACTGTTTGGCGATTATGCAGAGCCACCACTTACCTTTTTAGGCTTCAATGATAGACCAGCTTTAGTGAAGACTGTTTCACCACCGGCTTCAACATCGCTAAGCTGTTTAAGAGATTAATAGGACGTGATTGAAGAGAAGACTATGTTGCAAAAAGGTGTATAAAGGATCGATGTTTCTATTCTTTAATACATTCGATTCCAAAAGATTATCTCGGTGAAGTTAGAGACTTGCAGATTAACGCAATATGCAAAAATGATAACAACCCAGTGCAGAAGAACTTTAAAGTGGTCGGCGATTCTATTAAAACCGTATTCTCATTAAAAGATTTGTGATCGCATAGAAAAATCTGCATGCAAACTCAAGAAGAAAAAAAAACTTCGAGCCTCTCAGCATATAAAACATTTCGTCTTTCGGAGATCTACAGATAAACTGGTAAAATTGTGCTTAAATACACTTAATTTCGGATCTGTCTTCCTGAGGTTGAGCAACCAGTGCTAGCGAAAGGGCATAACTGGAAACTTTCATGCAGCGAATAGCTCGAAAGTGGTGATTCTAGTTTCATAAAGCGATCTTTAAGTCTGATGCTCCACTAGGCTTGCTATTAAAAATTCTATCTAATCTAATCAGCCGCGTCGGTGTGAGCTAAATTTCAACATTTCAGTTTGATCTTTTTGGCAGCTTTGAAATAGTTATAATAATAATAATCTCTTTATCTACAATTGGTAGCTATATAGGTCTCGTCCATATCAACAAAAGAGAAGCTTCTAGTTTTGATTCATTTACCTCAAGTATGTCTTCCTAACTCAACGATAATGAACAACAACATGCAAATCTACGCTTGTATTTATATCAAACAACAGTCCAAAGTCCAGCTAATTTTAGAACAGACGCTTTTGTCTTAGGAAACGAAAAAAACTTCTATTTTACTAAACACATATCTTATGAGGGTTTCTTGCTCGTACTTCTCTGAAGCGTGTCTCTTGAGGGAGTTTTGACCTTTGTACTCAGAGGGCAAACTCCCTCTTCAGTGTTCATAACACATAAATTATTACACAAAACTAATTTATTCAAACTATTTATGTACAATAAAAGGAAAAAGGTGCAATATTAATCAACATATTTACATGTGTTACACCTACATTTGTCTCCACTCCAAACTTGCATGCCTTTTTAAAAATCTGAACACGTTTTCAGCACTCTTTATTGCATCAGACAAGGCATATTCATAAAATGACAAATTGGCTCTTTCCTTGAGCAATATTTGACACATCCGTTATATCCTTGAAATCATTCAATATAAAAAAGTTTCGTAATTTTTATTTTATTTCATATCTGTGTAGCACAATCTAGTGGCTGGCCAGTCCTCAATATCAAACAGCGCAGTGTTGATTTAGCATGAATTTTTTAAATTGCAACTCGTTCAGATTGCCAAATTGTGACATTCTTGGACTCTTAATGATGATAAGCTTCTGATCGTTAAGTCTGTTAAAAAAAATAAAAATGGGAACTCACGTAGAAAAGCAATGTAGCTATTCTGTTCCCGTCTTTGTGAACGTCAAGAGGAGCTCCTTTTTCCTGTTTAGGTAAAACAGAGGTATTAGAAATAATCGAAAAAGCTTTCACCTACTATGGGAAAAACAAAGTAGAATTTTCAGTTCAAAAGAGCAATAAAACAAAGTCCTATATATAAAAAGACAAGAGGTATATAGGTTTAGGATTGGCAGAGCTACACTCAATCCCTAAAATTTGGTTTTATCCTAAAGTTTGTTTCGAAAAGCAAGACAAACAATTTCTATTTGGTGAAATTAAAGATCTTTCGCTTGTCCTATCTCGGTCAATTGTAACCATTTCAAGTCATCTGTTTTTTTCTTTTAAAATTTGAGGTCCAAATTTAAAAATTCTTATATTTTTACGACTTCATGATAAGAGTCTCCCTTCAATCTAACAGCAACTGAAAAGAAGAGAGCAAGAATAGGTGCGCATCGTTGCGATGATCATAGAAACATGGAATGTACTAGCATGCAATGTTGACTAGCGCAATAAAGAAGAAATTCACTTACACCATGATCTTTGTGGAACTCATACTGGCCACCAATGCCGTAATTGACAACCTGACATCCAAAAAGAATGATGTTTAGAAAACTGCACGCTATTTGGTGCATAGAAAAGGATGGTTCTTAGTTGCTACTCCGAGTTTCACGCTTATGCGATCGTAAGGCAATTGTTCAATGCGATCATCTGGACAGCTTTGCCTATACGGTATCGAACACTTTATGACAGACCGGTAAACAGTAATTTTCAAGAAAACTAAAAAGAGCAAGGGTTCAAATGAAATCGAAACCATATCTAAATTGCACTTTGGCACAAAATAGGTAAATAGCAGAAGGGAATCTCTCTGTTGTCCCTTTTTTGTTTTTTTTTTAACGCAACGAGAACAATTTTCGGATTTGCCTCTACTGGGTTTCCTCGTCGATAAAAATTCTGGCTGGCTTCGAAATCATTTTCTAACACTTGCTTGTAAAAGGCATAAAATCTTTATGAATGATGTTTTCCTTCTGTCTTCTTCTAGTGGTCAGATGATTCATTATTCTGGTATTCCGTGCGACACATTCTACAAATACGGAATAGGCAGGTTTCTCGATAAGGCAAAGGGAAACAGCATTGCTCTATGCTAAACATCATTATAAAGTATAACTAAATAATGTTACTATATAATTCATTGAGCGAGCAAAAGGAGTGCACCATTATTGTTTTGGTTGCCTTACCTGGAGTTCTTCAGCAGAATCAATTGAAAGACCGCTTACATCGGCGCACCTACGATCCAAGGACTTTAATTGATCGTGAAGTTGCAAAGGGGTATCTTCGTAAAAAAGCCACGAGCTGCGGAAAGAAAGAAAGAGCGTCACTTAAAATTTAACAGACGTTCATCTACTAGGATTGCTAGAAGTCTGAATAGGGGAAGGGTATCTATAGACTCTCTTAACATAAAACTGTATTGTAAAACTATATCGGTCTTTAAGAAATTGTGAGCAGGAATAAAAAGCACGAAGCATTATCTAATATCACACTATATTGTAGTTATGCCAATTATAACTTATGATAGTATATTATGAAGCAACGTAAGCATCAGTTATGAGTTTAATGTCCACCAACAATCTTTCATATTACATACACTTTGCTAGTAACAGACTAAAGGCATCACACTTAAGAGCAGTATAGACCAATTTAATAAGCCATGTCATTTGACATAATGCAACTTGGGATGTTCCTTACTAGGGAAAGAGCCCAAGGCTAAAACATTTACCTTAAACATAAGCAACCTATAGTTATATGCTGAAGAAAAGTTTGGCCTATCAATTGAAGCAGTAGCTGCCTTTAGAGTCACAAAACATCCATTTTTAAGATTTTCATTTGAACTTATTAAAACGATAGAATTTTTCTACATAGAAAAGTTTAAATGCTAACGCTACCAAGACATGTAGCTATTTTGGAGGGATGTAAAAACCTTGCCCATGAAATGTCATGTCATGTTTTAAATAGAACAAAGTCTAAATGATAGTGCAGAGACTATCTTAAGGATTATGCTTAAGAGGAATCATTTAATTGACACATGATTTGTTAACACTGTGAATAGCAAAGTGGTTGATTTCAGGGGCTTGGAAAAGAGAAGCAAATCATTTTTAAGCTCTGCTTTTTATAAGAAAAAATAAATAAAAGACTGATACTCTATCTTAGGAGAGCTATACTTTTTATCATGACCAAAATGGTTTAGAATTCAGTTAAATATTTATGTATGATGATATAAATCTATGATCAAGATAAATCAAAATGCATCATAGAAAAATTTAGATTAATTTAGTTAGATATTCCAAACTTTCATCTGTTGACTTTAGTGAACATTAAATGAATGATATTTAAACATTTTGTCATAAGCTTTAAAGACGGATGATTCACAAGTAGACATTAAAAGATTTATCTGAGCTCTCAGTAATTGAAATTATTCAGTTTTTAAAACATTGTTTTTGCTTGAAAATGAATTTTTATTAGACAGATTTTGAGTTATCATTTGTGCTTTATTGGCAATTGATCAGTTTGACAAACTTATTTTAAATTAGATTTTTTTATTTGCTTTAAAACAGAAATGCTATGAAATTTAGGAAAATAAAAAGGAAAGGAAGAAAAAATGACAGACTACATCAGTTGTGTTGAACGTGATTGTTGAAAACTAACAAAGTGGTTAGGTGACATCAGGCTGCCACAGCTGTAAGAACAGTAAAATATTCATGTATAATTTTTGCATAATTTGTGACAATCTATTGTTTAATCAATGATTTCCGTATAATCTATGAACATTCATCGCATAATCTATAATTTCTCATATTTTATGAACATCTCTAGTATTTGCGTTGTCCTAAATACCTTTTGCATATTCTGTAATTTGCTGTTACCATTTTACCGAAATCATCGTAGGCCTTTGCAAACGTCAGCTGTAATGAAATGGATATCATATTGAAACGCACACGACACCATCTATTGGTCTCCCTTGTTGACAGAAATAAGAAGGGGACACTCAAGGTAGCGGTTTAGAGTACCTTTTTTCAATTTCCCCTCATATCTAAAAGACGTTATTGGTTGCATTCCTTAGACAGCATACGGTAAGAGCCAGTGATCAAACACAAGTGAGCCAGCAATGATGTAAGTTGAAAGCATATTCCCAACAAACCAGAAGAAAACTCATAGAAAATGTGTATGAAAGGAAAGCAGTATTTTCACACAAAAATACTTTCTTAAAAGAATAAGTATATTTTCCAAAAGGAAATCTTGAAAGAAGATTTGAATTTCCCAATTGCGAACAACTATGGCAGCTTTACGTAAACAAGAAAGAGGAGTCCCAAATATCCTCGTTATGGGACATTGTCACAAACAGCAGAGCAACGCAATGGTTTTTCTTTAGTCAGTTGAATTCCTTAATAAAAAAAAGTGGCTACGAAAAAGCAAATGAACTGAAAACATATCTTAATAGATAAAATGGCTGGCTATGAGGTGATGCTGAAATTGATTTCCTCAAAGAAAAGACTTTATGAAAACAGAAAATCATGAAAACAGGACCAAAGGGCTGATGCTGAACAGCATTAGATATAATCGCATCAGATGGATGCTGGAGTTTCAAGACAAGTCTCTGCCTACATCGCCCTATTTTCCAGGGTCACAGCAAGAAGTATGATATTATTTCAAAAATGTTCTGCCGAAGGTGTTTCAAAAAGTTGCTCATCATGCTGACAGTATGCATAAAAAATCATAATATAAATAAAAGGAACCTATCGATGCTATGTCACAATTCATTGGATAGACACTGCCAAATAACCAGTCATTGTACACAGCATGAACATTCTGCAGAAAATCCGCATAAAGCTTAACCTCTAAATGAATAGAAAGGGAGAAAGGCAGGAACTACTATTGAACACTTTTTATCAAGTGACTTTGGATAGCTTTCATACTATTATACTGCCAATCATTCGCAGAACAATGAAATATTTGCGTGCTGGTGCAATGCTGACGTAGCCTGGAACATTTTGTGGTTTCTCAACTTACATATAAAAGAGGATTAGAAGGAGAGGAGGATATTATATTTGAGAACTCACACTACGACAGTCATAGATTTTAGTCACTTGACATAAGCTGTTTTATTTCTGCTGGATTTGCCAGTTTTGTCAAAAAAGTTCACCATGTTTCTAACATGGTCTGTTGTCATTATTGAAAAGTCTCAATCAGCTTTCGACTTTCCAGGGCATGTTGCATGAGACAGACATGCGAAATGAAATTAATCATATGCAACGTGTTGTGTATTTTATAGTATTCAAATAATATTAAATGTTTGATATGATTTTTAACATTTTTAGTTGACTTTTATTGTATTTTAGCTGATATTGTATTTTAGCTGATAGTGGTTTGTTTACAGTTGCTGATTAAGTTTTGGAAAAAAATCGATTAATGTTTATTTTGAAATATATGACAAAATTATGATGTTAAGGTTTAACACTTTTAATTATGATCAACGATACAGTCAGATTCAATTGCTTCTTGCTTGGCAAGATAGTTTACTAAAAATTTATCATTTTAGATGAGTCAATGCATCTGCAGCTTTTAAAGATTAATAATTATTTCAGCTTTTCAAACATTTGAATACAGATGATAAGTTTTCAACAAAACCGAATCGACTCACAAACATTTCAGGCTACAATGAGGGAACTATTTTAATGGTGGGAAGACTTTGCATTCAAAGTGACATCATATCTCAAATGACAATAGACAGGGACAGGGACAGGGACAGGGACAGGGACAGGGACAGGGACAGGGACAGGGACAGGGACAGGGACAGGGACAGGCAATGAGGTGACTGACGCAGCCCTCACAATACCTTGTTATGCCATAAATTTGACCCTATGAGTCTTAGGGAGAAATACCTTTTGCAGACTCTGTAATCGGCAGGTATCAAGTCACCACTATCATCGATTACCGTTGCAAGCTCAAACTGTAATAAAATAAGTCATGTAAAACCGTTTATAAACAAATTATATCGCCAGGTCACACTTTGTCTCCGATTTGAAATCAGGTTTTTTCAATAACATATTCGATTATGAATTCGCAAATATACAGGTTAGGTCATTGTAAATAGTTAGTAGAGACATTGTATCGCAAACAGACACAAAGAAACACGAAAAGGTGGCCTTGATATGATAAATGGCTTGTTAATAAACTTAGATATTAGTTTTACACCACGTGCAGTGTAACAAAGGCTATTAAAAAATTTTCAATGCATCTGATAATTTTTTGTCGATAAACCTTAGCCAAAAGCCAAGATTCTTATCAGCAAAAACTCCCTTCACTGCACAGAACAATATGAAGTATATTTCACAAACTGTTCACGTGAAGCAGCTCGAAGCAGTTACGTAACATTTGTTTGCCATTCAAAGATTGGTTTGAGCAATAGATGAACAGGAGCAATACAAAGGAAACAAGGGGACAAAAGTATGAAGAGGTTGCAAAGATTATGGAGAATGTTTCAGATTCGCAATCGATGATGTTTTCAACAGATTCAATAACTTACATAATATTTCTATTGACGTAGATGGTATTAATTATATTATAGTTGGCTCGTATCATAAAAGGATGGTTGCCATGAATAATTCAGTTGTAATGCAAACAGACTGATAAAGGCATCACTAGAAAGAAGTTTATAAGGGGATATTAAAAGAGATGTGAGGGGTAAGAAAATATGGCCGTGATGACATGCTGTATGGGAAATACTTTGGTTGGAGAAAAAGAATAGACAGATGGGATTAACGTAGCTTATTTTACATGCTATGCTTTTATGATAATGTACAAGCGTGGAAGTGCAGAAGAAAGCAAGCATTTTAATGTATGAAATATTAACGTGATTTCAGAATTTATGCTTTCTAGTTTCTAATGAATGGTCTGATTCAGGTAGTTCATATGACCTCACATACAAAAAACAAAATCTATTTTGAGTTAGATACATTGGACGGAAAGATATGCAAAAGTATTTTAAAAAGTTCTCATGTTTCGACCAAAAATGTCAATTTTGAACAAAACATTTATGAATCAGAAAAATTTCCGCATAATTTTTTTTTTGTGGCAAAAAGAATCACATTGTACTATAATTTTCTTGTTATTTTCAATATTTGGATCAGATCTTGAAGTAAGGAAAAAAATTTTGCCCGCAGAATATATCAGGCATATTTTGAACAATATACTTTCTAAGCAAGAAACGTTAAAGTTATTTTACTATGGCTTAGATATCTTAAAATTGATTTTTAATCGTTTGATATCAAGAAGTGTTATTGCTTTACAATTAAGATAATGGATTCCGTTATTTCTTGGCATAGTTGCATTTATGATTAAAAGCTTCAGCACAACAGCAGACTTTATGATTTGCTTGATATGTTGGAATTTAACTTTTATTAGTCAACATTATACATACTGTTTAGTTTTGTGTTCATTGTTAGAAAGTGTACAACAATGCTTTTCATTCAAAGCATCTGTCAATTACACAAAGAGTAATAATAGCGGCGGGCTGCAACCCACACAGCTTAAAAGGAGCAGCATCCAGAAGTAGCAATAACTGAAACATGATTGGACGGTCTTTAAAATGATCACGTGCAAGCCTACAAGTCATTTTCTTCAAGGATCAATAAACTTAGCAGGCATGCTTTATTGAAGGACAATGATGAAAGTTTCTAAGACCATCAGTATGCATCTGACACCAAAAACTACTCTCATTGTTATCTGAGCAATATAACATCTAGCTGCAGTTATCCTGGGATTATAGACAAGGTTAACTCAAATAACTTCAACTCAGTGTTGTCTTCTTTTCACAAATTGTAATATTCGGCACCCTCTAGCTTTTGTTTATCATTTCAAACATCCTACCCTCCTCTTATATAATGGATAGCCTTTCATCTCATTTTGCCTTAGATTGCTGCAAATTTTTCAAATCATGGCTTTAATTAACTCTTTAGTTGACCTCGTAGTTACCTTCCTAAATAATGGCGGGTTCAGTACTTGAACTTTCCATATATTTCTCAAAATCATTCTTTCCACACATTAAATTCATTCATTTGTATCCAGTCACCCCCTTCCAGATTGCCTGTCCCTCCTGCAACTGCCTTCCTTATGGTATATTGACCGCGAAATTTAACAACAAGCTAATAAAGTTTATGAACAAAATTTAGGCCATATATATGACTTTCATTTGACACAATTCAATGAAAGAGTTAAAATTTAAATTTTTACCCAGTTGTGGAAGAGTTCTCGATCAATTTTATCACTTCTATTGTTGCTTTATGCCTACTTAAAAAGTGATCGATGCTTCGCTTAAGTAATTGAATTATGGCAAATACTTGTGAGATTATTAAATTACGATAAACATATTTGTTAAATTATCGAATTAATGAAAACAGAATTATTCTTAAAGCGAAGAATTAGTTTAAAAACAAGTTTGAGGTTAGATTCAGTATCCAGATGCTTATTTTAATCTAACATTTTACCAAATTTCATGATACACACCAACAACGGGATTATACGCAGGATGCTGATAATTATTTTATGTGAATTTGAGAAAAAAAATTACATTTTTGTTTTATAAAACCATAAAATAATAATTGATGATCTATGAAAATAGGTTTAATAGAGAGCATAAAAGCATAAATAAGAGAGTATGAAAAATCAATACACCATAAAATTAAAACACAAAGCGAAAGGGAAAGAAAACAAAAAAAACAAAAGAAAGAGGATATTAAAAATAAAAAAATGCAAATTTAACCAAGGGTCTTTTTATTGTGAAGACATATTTTCACATAGTTTAAAATGCATGGGTTTATGCAAGATTTTTCACGTTATGATTAGTTTTGAGGGTAAACTTACTAAAGACAAAAAAATCCCAAAAATTTAACTATGATTTATTAAAAAAAGCATATTAGAGATTTATTTCTTTTAATATTGTTTAAATTTTCGTTCAAATTGTCTTAGACTTTATATTTCTGTTCTTAGACAAGTATCATATTCATGTCTTAAATCTGTTTTTCAGATTGCACAAAAGTAGAACCATGCTATTGCAAAACTTGAAATGCCAATTAATATTATAATTAAGCATATCTAATTATGCAATGAGCATGATTCTGCCTTTCAATGCGATCTCGACACTTCATTTTAAGCTAACGCTGCTCATCACATAGAGTTTGTAGCTGGGGATGTTGATGCTTTTCGTCATTTTGGTTCAATTTGTTTTAGTAGCTATGTTATACAACGCACATTTGCTGGGCTATGTGTGTGTGTGTAAAGTTGACGTTTAGTATCTCGACATTCAACAGGAAGAGAATAGGTGCCTTTCCAGCATTCAGAAAATTTATATGATACTGTGTATAGACATCAAACTAACGTTACTATCAACTCGTTATCATCAGCGATTCTCAACTTTTAGATCGCTTTTGTTAATTTTTCCAAATCAAGTTAGTTTTAAATAGCCTAAGTAGATCATTTTTTCAACACTGATTGAATACCTATCTTAATTTTAAGTTTAAATAAATAAAGGTTTGGATCACTCTACATAGAGAGATGATCAGGGTAATATGGTAACTGCCTGCTGGAAAGGTCAAGTAGCTGAAAATTGACAAGTGTTCTTAGTAAAAGTATGATACTGGCCAGAGCTTTGAAAAGTGAAATGGAAAGTACTTCAGTTAGAGAGGAATACGGCAAAGTAAAAGATAAAGAAAATGGCAATAGAAAAGTGCTGGACCATTCATGCAACGAAGGCATGATGGGAAAAAGGTACAGATTTGAGGAAAATTTTAAATGTCGAGATACATGACGTCAACTTTGTACGTACTAGAGATTAGAAAGAGCACCTTTTACTGATCCGGTAGCCGGCTGATCTTATAACTCCAGTATCCAGGTCATACACTCTTGCCAATTCAAGCTGCAAAAAGCAAGTTAACAGAATGAACACGCAATTTTGCTGTTGTCTCGTCCTATACAGCGTGAATGTAAGTTGTATCTTTGAACATGGTAGGAAATCACATGAACCCAATTGTCTGAATAGGTTTATAGAAAGAAAAGACAGAGTTTTAGGTACAGTAGAAATTAGAGACATGGGACGTTGAAGGTGCAAGAGGATCATGTGGCCAGAGAAATGAAACTCCACACCTCGTATAAACTTGGAGCAATAACTGGATTTGAAAGCTGTAGTACAACATGGGAAATACATGGTAGAAAGAAAGTGTTGGAAGTGAAAGTGAAAAAAAGCAGAAGCCACAGTGTGAATAAAATTGACTGAAAGCTTGTTTAAGTAAGAACTGGGTTTAAAGGAAAAAGGAAGCTTTGATCATATGCTGCATATTGTTCATTTCAGTGCACGGAAAACTGTCACCGATCAATTTGTCGCAAGCGGAATTTAGAAGAAACACCACCAGACAAAGAAGGAAAGCATCCAACGTCCAACGTAGTGCTTTACCAGATTTCCATTTGTTTTCAAATAGGTAAATTGCCTGTGTTTCTTTGCAGTAAAGCAACGGTTCAATAAAATCTCAACTAGTACAATAGCTACTTGACAAGGGGAAGGCTTACATTGGAGATTGTCGTTCAAATGTCATCATTTTAACATTTTTAGGTATAAGCTTTCAATGAAAGACTAGAAAATTATGTAAGAAAAGATATATATTGAGGCAGTTAAAATTTTTCCAAAAGATGGATGCTATCACAAATTGACTCTATTTAAATGGTACGTTTGCCCCATTCCAAATCTAAATCATCAAAATACAAAAATCAGAAATTGTACTTACCTTCGGCTTCGCTAGACTCTTAATAAAGTCAATTTCTTTTTGATTTATAACATCATAAAGAATGTATACTTCTGGATTGTCGTGAACACATTCTACCTTGACCGGTTTTAGCAATAGTCGAGGACTGTCTCGCTTGTAGAAGCAACGAATCTTTCTATGATCCCTGGGTCTCTGAAAGGGAGGAGCGATGAAATCTATTTTCAGACAGATATCTTTGGAATTCAATCACTTGACGATGCTAAAAATGCTCCCTCCGCGATTGGATAACTTTAACTTGAAAGCTTCGAGTTGAAAGAGGGTCTTCCTCTGCCTTTTTAGCATCTGACATGAGTTATTGCGGGTTTAACATGACAAAAAATGCCTAATCTTAATATCATCGAAACTGACTTGGACGTTTGACACCAAAGCAAAATTCAAAGCAACTCGCTCAGAGAAAGTACGTTGTTGTGGTTCTTCATTCTAATTGGTTATTCGTGCATTAAACCAACGATGCATGAATATCGTGGCCATGAAAAAAATTGACAATTAGAAAATCAGGATATGAAGGTAAGCACTGATCCTTCAAAATCTCGATAAAGGCATGCGAGACAATTGAATAGAGATGTAAAGTGTGACATTACCAAGAACCTATTTTTAAAATTTTTGAATTTTGAATTAAAACCATTTAACACAAAATATCACCATGAAATACTTTCAAATATGCAAAATTGGCCAAATATGTCTAAAATGGGTTGAGATATGACCAATGAAAGATTTGCAGCCTGCTAACGAATCACTGATATTTTGGCCTTGTTCATAGAGGTTTAACGGGGAAAGAATTAATACACATGTGGCCATATCTCAGCCAATTCGTAATACAATTGACTGAATTTGCATCTTTAGAGGAATTTCATGATGCTCTTTCAGGTTACGGGATCATAATTCAAAAATTATAAAATAGATTTTTGTGACGTCATTACTTTAGAACTCTATTACACTCACAGTATGGTTGTTGAGGAATACACCACGGCATGCTCTAGCATAGGTGCTATTGTAAAACTCCTTGTTGCCAATGACGTTCTGTTTGTAATCAAACTGGTATGATGTTTGAGTAACCCTGTTTCCCTCTTGTTGCATCTTAATAACTGATTTATAATACTTGGCATTGTTTTCCATTGTTGGATCACTTGTATCTGGAAGATTAAGGCAACATTTTCAATGATCTAAAGAGTATATTTTAATGTACAGCAAGGAAATATCTTATTTGAAAATAGGTGAAGATATGTCAAGATCAGGTCATAATTCGAAAGACATTTCGGTAACTCGGTATCCCAACTATCAACAAGGCACGGAGAGTTCGTGGGTCTTTTAAGGGTTCTCGCTCGCTTTAAGGGGATATATTAAATATTTCCTCTTATATCTAATTACCAGTTATATTTATCCTTTAAGATTTCAAAACAACTTTATAACATCACAAAGCTGTTTCAGTGTAATTGGGAGAAATTATCAAATCCACTTAATGTTATTTGAATGGAGATATGAATACTTACTGTGTTTCAGAGCCTGTTCAGTGTAGTATAAAGCTTTTTTGTAATTTCCACTCTGAAATTAAGAAAGGAAACTTTATAATCAAGACTGGGTTTAATCTGTTTATTAGCTTTGTCAAAATTTTGAGCACCGAAAGGACGCTGAGAATCATTTCAACTTTGACCTACTTGAATGTTGCTGTCAATATCAGATCAGCGATATGCCTTTATTCAGTTTCACCAAGATAAGAGTCTTTGTCATCATGGTAGACTTGTCAAAGTCGCTTTTTCAGGATGGTAATGCGTGAATTATAATACGAGGCAGTAGGCATGAAATCATATTTGAGGGGGAAGGGTTTATTAAGGAAAAAAGTGCTTCCCATACAGTACTTAAAGCCAGTTCTATTAATGTAAATGAAGCATAGTTAAGAACTCATTTTTGCACCCACTCCTCCTACTGTCTTCAAAAGCTCTATCAGATGCAAGATTTGGACTCCGAAAAACCCATGCAACTCTGCTCCACGACTCATGTACGTCTATGGAACATCAAGCGAGTTAAGACGTGTTAACACAAAATATAACGTCAATGCTATACTTACAATATAATATGCCCAAGACAGATGCTCAAAAAGCAAGACAATAGAAAGATTTCCGATCCTCTCTTGCCCAAGGGTCGCGTTTGTAAGTCGCAGACGCTCTGCCTCTTCTAGCCACTCGAGCATTTGTACATATTTGTCATTCTTGTAGGCCAGCTCACCAAGTTCATAGCAATCAGCAGCAGTTAGTTTATGAAGAGATGGTTTGGTGCCTAGAAGTAATCAGTGCTGTTAGTTGCAGTGGACTTGATACACCCAGGCAGCAACCAATTAACTGTTTCTATCTAAACAGATCTAGTAGCAATACATTAGTTTAACTGTTTCTATCTAAACAGATCTAGTAGCACTACATTAGTTTATTATAAGTCTATATTTGGCTGGTGCTTAGTGAGAATACCAGAAACAAGGAAAGGGATGTACAGAAAGGTGTGAAAAACAGAATAAAATCTTCAAAATAATTCAACAAGTCAATGCTCATGCAAAAAATTACTGTTTACAACATTACGAAATGAAAGTACTTCATTCTAGCAACACAAATGGGAGCAGTTTGAAAACCAGTGATAGATATACAAAAATCATAATCATCAATGGAGAATAATGATGACTTAAAGTAGGAGTTCTTTTGCTCTAATATCATTTATTGCCTTAATCGCACTGAGTGTCTTAAAATGAACATTGTGACAACCATTATCTTTGTTATAACAATGTTTTTAATATGAAGCCAGCTGAACAATAGTACGCTACTTTGATGGAACAGATTTTGGCAAAGACCTGTCAGATATTTCTTGATTTCAAGACTCATTGCTAACAACGAGCCTTCGCGCGCGTAGTAAATTGTCCAGGTGACGGTCTAAACAATGGCAGTCCACTTCTTTGCATCAACCAATATTGATTTAAAACTATCTTTTTGAAAAAGATACTATCCTACACAAGAAGTTCTCAAAAGTTGGTAAAGAAAATTAAGGTCATAATTCTTCTAAGGCTTCAAAGTTTTGTTATTTATAATAGCCTTCTATAATCGTCTCTTGCAAGAATCAGTGCTACAAAATTAATTCAACGATGACATCAAGCATCTGCTTGAAATGACACGGCGCTTAAGAAAAACGCAGAACCACCAACCGAACGCGTAGTGATAATAATGAAATGAGTAACAAGATATCAATTTTTAGAAGATTTTGAGAATTTTCTAATGTTGATTGCAAAAGGAAGCAAGAGGCGATAGATTTTTAATTGCCTGCATTAAATTGTTTGCTAAGTAGGCTGTAAGCAGAAATCAAACATTGTTTCCACCTTCGAAAACTGTACATCTCTAGAGATACAAAATGAATTAAGCCCTTGAGGAGTTATGTTCTAGGTTCCACACGAGGAAATACATTTTGTAATGTCTTGATGGAATGTTATCGCTATAAATAAAATATCTTGTTGATGTTGAGTCTTTGTTGAATAGTTTTATGTCAGTAGTTTTATAGAACCAATATATCGCACAAAGGAGCGTCTACAGAGTAAAATACTGAATCAATCAAAAGTTAATCTTGGACGTACAGACATTGAATATCTTTTTTAAAGAAAGCATTGCATATCACGGCAAAATATCGATTATTTTCTGCATCGAAATATCGCAGCAGAAAGAGCAGTCTGCATGCAGACGGTATTTTTTGCATATTGTAAATTGTTGGTACCATTTAATGAATAAGTAACAAAATTTCAAATCTTTTTTCCGAGTGTTCCATAGTATTGAAATGAACGTGGAAACGGTAGAGGTTTCGCTAGGTCATGTTATGTCATGTTATGTTATGTTATGTTATGTTATGTTATGTTATGTTATGTTATGTTATGTTATGTTATGTTATGTTATGTTATGTTATGTTATGTTATGTTATGTTATGTTATGTTATGTTAATGTTATATTATGTGCTACGTATGGAGACATTTTCGTTACTCAGAGATTTTATGTGCTTTTAATCTAAAAATTTAATACTAAGATTGATAATTATGAAATTGAGTACTAATTAGTAAAATTCGTGCATGCTACCAGCAACAGTTTGAACAACGCTAAGAATCCATTGTGTTCAATTGAACATGTTGGATCGCACATCTAAGGGTGACGTATTTAACTTAAATTACCATAAATAATAAGCCACAAGAATCTGTATTTCGACTCAAAACAGATGATCAAAGCAGCAGGTTAACAGCCATGCAGGATCAACAATAAATCTGCTGTGATTAGACAAGTCAAAATGCGATATCATACGCGGGAAAAACCAGCTATTTGACATAGAAAGACTCACGAAAACGTGATTTCGAAATCGTGTCATGCATACTTGATGAATCCCTAAATCAAAGAAAAGCATGTTACCAAATATCGTCCCTTAAAGCCAATATTGGGCGGTATTGATCGTAGGTTTCAGTTAGCTTTAAAATAAAAATCATCAGTGGATAAATTAATACAAAAAGCATACCTTTGATTTTTCCCTCCGACATTTCACGTGCGGGTATTGCATAGGTCTCTTGTAATCTGAACAAGCCAGCCGCAGCACCAACGAAATCCTCGTCATATGTTGGCAGGCTGTTCTTGCTCACCTTCAAAATTGTATCTATATCTGAAAAGAAAGTAAATACTCATTGTCACAGGTTATCAACTTTCAAATCATATTTCTTGTTCTCTAAACATCGTAGTTTTCATCCGTCAAGAAGGTTTTAATCTAAAGATGTCTATCTACCAATGATTCTGATTCACGCACGTTATCAGAGATTTTTCATCTCCGGCAGCTTTATTAATCATAGTGATATGACACTATACTATTTTTACAGGACCAGCTACAATTTGAATAGAATTACAGTGTAGTCAGCTAGAATTTATATGCTGCTTTCAAAGAAGCCATGCTGCATAGTATGAATTTATGTTGGTTGAAACAGCAATCTTAGACAAATGGGCCTAACGGTTGCCGAGGATTTCGATGTTTCCTTTTTATTTTGCTTCTCTCTTTGTCTCCTTACAATTTTGTTACGCAAAATGAAAAGCAGGTTAAACTATCAAATTATCATTGCAGAATGTAAGATTAATAAACATTCGGGTTGAAGGCAAGAGAATAGTGGAAATTTCAACTCAGAGAAACAAGGAAAGAAACAAGGGGCGATAGCTACAAAGAAACTTTAGTTGTTTGTTGCGATCAAAACGCAAGATGGCTTTTTGTAGACATTTTGAACAGAAATTTTCTTAGTTTATTCAAAAAAAGACTTTTTCGTGGAGACATTATTCAATATTTCAGAGGACCCTTGGATTCGATCCTTCGCTGTCTACTGGGGCAAAAGACAAAGATTATACCAAAAAATGCTACGAATAAGACCAACAGGAAGTAATTCTTGTTAAAGTGACTTTGTTATTACCAAAGAAAAAGCTTTAGCGATGACATGATTCAAAGTCTAAAAAAGAAAAACTATTTCTTCCTTTCCAAGGCTAAAACTTTGATTCTCAAAAAGTAATTCCTCACATGCGCACAAATTAGGACAAATTTATCCCCCTCCCCTGCCCATTTCTTCCAATGTTAAAAAGGAAGCAAGCAAAATAGTTGATTTCCGTAATCGGCGGCAGATACCTTTAGGATTACACTTGATAAAATAAATCGACAATCAGTGAATGGACAGTTTCAGCATAAAAGTAAAACAAGCGTATACCCAGAAAATTAAAAGTTTAAGGTAAAAGGAAACCAAAACAGAAATTTTTATCATAGAAATTGTCGAAATACTTTACAGCGAAAAACTCTCTCAGAAAATAACTTAGTTGTCTGTTTGACAGTTTGGCAGTGTTCACGAAAGTGATGCTACACCCCTAAACAAACGTACGAGCCAATGCAAGAATCCTTCCCACGAAATGACATTAAAAATGAAGTAACTGAGTTCAATTTACGACTAAAAGTAATAAATTAGATTCGCACCAGACATGAAATTAAATGAAAAGCTATAAACTCACTAGTATTTTATTACAAGCAGACTTTCAGCTGCAACTTTCACATAATTACAAAAATTGAAGAGAGAGTTGCAGTAAATCTTGTTTAGCAATAAATTAAATGACAACCATTAAGTGGTCTCTAAAACTTTTGATTTAAACTGATATTTTAATCTACTCTTTGCAAACAAAATGATGTGAAGACCGAAAACAAAACATAAGTTGTTCGTCTCTTAGAAGGCAGCTTCCAGGAAGCTTAGATGCGAAAAAATGCCATGCAAATGGCCCGGAATTACGCAGCATAGTAAGTAGAGCCTCCATAAAACAGATACGGTTAAGGAATTGCGTTAAGGAATTGTACCCTAGGAATTGCTTTCATTTTTTGCCGCAATTCTCATTTTTGCTGCCATTAATTTTATGTGGCTCTGGTACCCAGGGTAGGTAAAGGCATAGGATATCCGTTGTCAGGTGGTTTCGTTATCTGGTTACCTCTACAAGCGTTTTACAGAAATAAAAGAAACTTATAGCTGGAATACGGAATATAACAACCAAACATCCTGTTAAATATATACAACTACCACAATTTATTGCGCCAATCATAAAAATATCGTAATAAGGGTATGGATATATTGTTTATCTGTGGTTTGGAAATTTTCACGTAGTAAGGCATCCCATCTATTAATTGCGGTTTAACTATGCTTGCTTGCAGATGGAAGAAACGAAAATAATTTACACCACGGGGACAGTAGCCCGCATCAACACTGTATGATCCTCCTTTAATTTGTTTCTCTCTTAGACTCGGCTGTTCTCTAAGTCAAATTCAATATTTCTCTAACCCTATACACAGAAACAGAGAATATCTATTGCTCTATCGAAAGTTTCTTTAAAATGTCCTCAGAAAGCTGTTGAATTTTTCATTGTATCAAACAAGCAAGTTAAAGCTGAACTATTTTACAGCGTTGCTATAACTGTAGACCGGTTCGTCTATCCTATGATGTTGACAAAAATAAGGTTACCCACAGAATAAAAGCTGGGTTCTGCCACGCCTCTTAGAAAAATTGATACCTTGGCACGCCTCTTTTCTTGATGGAACAGATGCTTAAAAGGAGCTCATCACCAAATTATTGATTGCACACAAAATATGGGCTTTAAAATAGCATCTGTCTATAGCCATCAAATATTAAACTTTAAACTGTAATGAACATTGAAGATTGACACACTGACGTATTTAGATAAACTAATGAAACACAGATGAATAGTTTCATGGCATACAATGTCTTTGTTTGTTCAACCGATATTCAATTAAACTGTTCCCTTCAAAAACTCGAAATTCTCGAGCAAACTGTTAATCCGAGACTGCTTTCAAACTTTAAGATGGCGTTACACAATGCAAAATGCAAAGACAACAACATTGCAAAAGAACAGAACAGCTTGCAACATTCATCTAACTCTGTGATTGAAATATGTACATTATTAAGTGAAAAGGGAAGCCGGTATTTTTTTGCTTAAAACACTACTGTTTAAGGCCTTCGTTGTAACACATTGCGCTATTTATAATATATTACGCTATTTGTCTGAGTTTGATTGAATCATCATCGATAGAAGTTGCCGAATCGAGTATTCTTTTAATGAAGTTTTTGCAAACTCATGCATACCCAGAATGCATTGAGCGTTGCATTATTTTGGTCGATTGCACAACCCGAGGAGACGACACCCTAATAATCATGAACGTGGTTGATTTAATTACAGAACCGAACTATGCAACATAAGGAAACTGTTGTAAGATATCAGATATCTATACGGATCTACACGAAGCTACCTTATGCCATTCCATGAAGAAAATAAGAGAAAATAAGTATGGAATAGAGAAGAGAATCAACTGGAGAGAAGAAGGCCGGGGCAGGAATAGTGGGCCAAAAATACAATAGACGATGTCAAAAGAGGTAGTCTAAAGAGAAAGACCTTTGAAAATGGCTTTAAAAAGCAACATTACGAAAAAAACTAAAGCTTTTCGCCTGATACAAAATGTCAGAAAATAGATCGATATTTCTATGCTATCAAATTTTTCTACCCACCTATGTATATATATATATGTCTTTATGCAACAAAGGACTTCGGCAATATATATTTTTAAACTCGGTGCATGAGCAATTGAAAGTATTTATATACATACAAATATGCTCATCTAGATGTATGTAAATTTATATTTAAGTCTCATATGGGTTGTGTTTCTTCTTTCATAAATCGATTTTGCAATAATGGTGTGCACAGCCCCCCCCCCCCTTTCTCTCAATTTCAACGATACGTGTTGCTAATACTATACTGACATCAGAAGGGAGTATCTTCACTTCCCGTTAGCAAAATTAAGCAATGTGTTGGCAATAGGTGAACTAAACATTGAATTAAGGTTTTGCGCATCTCGCCCGAGTCACCAAAAGCTCAAACGGCATTTAACCAGTCGAAATGGCAGGACAACTATTTTAAGATAGCCTCTTACTGGACAATAAATTGGAAAATCTTCAACAGAAAATTTATTGCTACCCACTGGACCAATTCGAGCTAAAAAAAATTCCAGATAGGTTGTCATTTAAAGTTAACATTACGAGCACTTTTGCGGGTGTATCAGGATTAAGATGTAGTGAGTTCAAGTCATTCACTTATAAGAATGATTCTATCAATTTCTTTCCACTTAAAAGAGTGATCCTATCTTGCTTGTAATTCAAGCACTGATACCATAAGTGGTAATCATTTTATATTTCAGCGTTATTGTTAGGATCCATTTCATATATGCAGTCACTAGAAATTGAGATTTGGTAACAACGATTCACTAAATGTACCAGGAACATTCAATAAATACCCCCAAATGTTTCTCGCAAATTTAAGATTCCAGGTAAGCTCGAGTTCTTTGATTCCAGATTTACAAGCATAATTTTGATGTAAAAGGCTATTGTATTAAAACATAGACAGATTAATAAATCATGAAAAGTAGTCATTTAAAAGTTCAGCCCTCGATATAAGGAGTTGAAGTCTTAGGGCCTGTTTACATGAAGTTGGCTGGTTTACTCAAGTGGGATCTGTGCTTTTTATAAATTCCTTTGTTCTATGTATTTGCGTTTACATGGAAAGTGGTCCAGCCCGCTCAGGTGAGATCCGCGAGAAAAACAGGTGGGATCCGCGTCAGATGGGATGAAAATTATCCATATAAATGCAATCAGGTAGGCTAGCCCATTCACTGAAAGTCATTGCGCTTGCGTAGAGGAAGTTTGCGCCAAACAAACAACAGATCGGGCTCTTCTGCTAAAACCGTACCAAAAGCGTACAGAAACCTAGAGAATTAAAACGTTTCCTCAATTGAAATGACACTAACATGTCGATCGCATACTTTTGATAGATCGAACACAAAATCAGAATTCCGTCTCACGGTCAGAAAAGAAATCCAATTGTTATTCGCCATTGTTAAAGAAAACTTATATTTAATACTGTGGCGCGAAAAACTAAAAAAACCTTATTTACAATTTTCAAATCAGAGGCCATCCCACCTACGTAAGTGGAATAAATCGCGTCCTCATGTAAGCTCTTGCGAATACGATCTCACCTGCAGAAAATAGATCACTGGAGTGGGCTAGCCCACTTCATGTGAACAGGCTATTCGTCGAGCAGGTGTAAAACGTATCAGCGTAACAATATCAGTATAAAAATATGTTATCAGCCTTAGAAAAAGTTCTTTGTTTGGGGACGATAATATAGTACGGGAAACTTTTCCCTTCAAGGAAGTCAAGGAAAGAAGTTAAAAGGGAAGCTTACCTTTTAATTTTTCATCAGAAAGGTTAAGCAAACTTCCAAGCTCTTTCCAGCCCCACGTGAATCTTTTGAGAAGCAGGTAGGAGTTGATCGGATTAGCTACATACTCTTCAGGATTTCCACTAGACAACTTGGAAGCAACTTCTACTGCCTCGGCAAATTGCTTCAAATTAGCTAGTTTTCTTCTTTCTGAACTGATGAAATTCTTAGATGCATTTAGAAGGCGCTGTTCCAGAAAGACAAGATCTTCTAGTTCAGCAACAGCGGCATAAATATCCGCAGATGTGTTTCCAAATAGAGTGCAGATAAACGTCAGCATGAGTACGAGCATTCCGATAAGTCTGGCCAGAGATATTCTTTGATATGTTGAAGAAAACATGTTTCTTGGTTGGCGCTAGATATCACCGAGCAATTTCTCCACGATAAATACCTTGAAAGAAACAAGTCGACTTGCTTCAAAGAACGTTTTCGAGTCTATGCTTCTAGTTTTCTTCTATTTGGTTTGCTTTGTCAGTTGAACACATCGCCCTGCTCTTCCGGTGCAAAAATTCTTCGGTGCTTATCCGATTGAAAGCCTTGAAATAGCGAGGCCTTTACTTAATCAATAATTCATCGATTTGCTTTCCCTTCACGAATGCTTTCTAAAGATGCGAGCTTGTAAGTGTTAAAGCAAGATTGACTTTTTAATAGAATCTAAACAGTACGGCGCTTAAAAATAGCGACCTTTCTCAATTACAACGAAGTTCGGCGAATCTACTCTAAATTTATTTTTTTGTGCGCGGGCTAAAAACGAATGAGTGCGATCGAACACGAGGGATCGCGACAGGTTCCAATATTGAATCGTGATCGCACCACCCGCCAAAAAATCATGGCCCGAGTCATTGTAGGGCATGGTTGCTCTTTTGGTCGGCAGATTTGGTGCAGGGGGGATGACGAATAAAAAAGAAGACAAGTTTCAAGTTTCAAGTTTGGGACAAGAGCTGACAGACTGACTGGTAGAATGACGACTGAAAGGATGACGACTTAAAGGATGACGACTGTGTGACGATAAAAAACACATAGACGATAATGAGCTGAAGAGAATTATGAAACCAGTGACATCTTTGGTAGTGGTTGTCTACTTAAGGGAAGCGACTTTCGCGGGAAGAATCTTTCGCATTTTAAGGCTAAAATTCCTTTTTTTGCGTGTGAAGCCTAAAGTCAGGTTTTGCGTGTTTCAAGCCTAAAACCGCTAAAGTTTATTTTCGCTAAATTCCAGAGCACTTTCGTATTGACACTCTTTAAAAACTTTGATGACCAATGATCTTTTAAACGATTTTTAATATTTTTTTCATTGTTTTGTTGGTATCAAGTTGAATAAAGAAATGTTTTTCGCGCAAAATTCACAATTTATTCTTGGGCAATTTTTCCTTCCAGTTTCTTATAAAACTTTATAAGGAATTTCTTTGTAAGGAACTCATTTTTTTTATAAAAATACGTGTAATCGCACTTCATTGTATTTGACAGCATTTTCATGTTTTCGATCACCATCATTTTGAGCTAATGATTTGATGAGCCCCGTGTGTTCTACGATAAATTATATTCAGGTAACCCAATGAAGTTTCGATCTATTGATTAGCGTTTCAAGAGCCAAGCTATTGAAAAATTCCGAGAAAATCTGTTGCAGAAAAAGTAATGCTACCAAGAAATGGAAATCTGATAATTGCCACACAACCCCCTCGCACGACAAGATTTCAAATCATCGTATACTAGAACTGGGCGTGCGAATCTGCAAGTACCTTGCCTTGCAAACGTGCAAATTTGCATAAGAATGCAGCAGCAGTGAAAAGAACAACAAGTACCCATTTTGTTTCTTTATTTTAGGAATTTTCAATTCGGGCTCACGCCAACGTAGAAGATGGGGTAGCCATGCCCCCCCCCCAATTTCTTCCGAAGCAAATGGCGATTTTAGAGACTGCGGGGCCCAGGGCCAAAAAAATCTGCGGGGCCTTTGTTATTTACAATTTCTATCTTTCTTCTTAGGTGTGGGGCCCCTTTTGGCTACTATAAGTGCAGGGCCTGGGGCCATGGCCCCCTAGACCCCCTTAAAACCGCCAGTGACGGCAATAATAAGTAGAAAAAGCCTTGATCCCCCATTTTCGTTAGTTTTGCCCCCCCCCCCCACGTTAACCTTCATGACGTGGGCCCTGTCAATAATTTTCTTCAAAAAGTATTATCGTTAGGGATATCAAACCTGAGGCTTTACATGTTAAAGTATGATAAGGAGAGGTTTTTGGAACCTACATAAGTCATCTAATCGGCACAAAACATTTTAAAACTTTCTTCTAGAAACGGGGCAATGAGAGGATAATCCTAGTCAACAAAAAAAGGATGGGAGACAGCTTCCGCAATACGAATTAAATGCATGTTTTTCTGACGGACGAATGCAAGAAAATCTAGAAAATTGATGAATCAATCAATCAATTAATTAGTCAACCCATTTCCAGCATGTGGTCATACCAAACTTCGTTACACACTTTTTGTGCCATAACATCAGTTTTTCCAAGCCACAATATTCTTAAATATGTTCGATATTGAGCTCAGAAATGTCTATATGTTATGCTTTATAGACACCCATCTTCAATTAAAAAGGCTTTTATTTGCATAAATTAAATTTTGGCCGAGACTCACATAAAATTGTACAAAAATTTGATAGAATCAGGCCAGTTTTCAGTTTGTAGTTTAAAAAACAAAGAATTAAGTTTAGCCGTAAAACTCGCGAGAAAAGCTCAGATTGAGAATGAATTATACATTTGCTAACTTTAATTCTGGCTACCATTCTCGACAGTGTCTTTTAACATTCTAGGTAATAGACGCAGCAAGCTTCAATAGAAGGAGAAAAGACATTTAAATACAGATCGGCGCTACTGTGGAACTTACTGCCTGAAAGTGTAAAGAGCTTAGAAAACTACGAACATTTCAAAAAGATCTTCTCAAAACATTCTAAAGAAATAGAGGCAGCAAGCTTCAATAGCTCAAAAACAATCAAAAAGGAAATATTTGGATCATTTTAATACCAATAGATGTTATTTTAACCACAGCAAATTCAACAATATTATTTTTGTTCAACAAATTGTAACTTTTAATTCTTTATCCTAGTTTTGGTTTAAGCAGGTCCACATCAGCTTTATGCTGACTACTTCTGACCTGCTATACAAAATAAATAATGTATGTATGTATATGTAGATATGTATGTATTTATGTATGTATGTATTTATATATGTATGTACTAGTTTGAGGGACCATTTTCCATCCAGGCTATTGTCCTCCTCTTTATATAAACAAAAGCTCACCCCAGCAGCTATTTTCTCTTCCAAATGCCTTTGATTCTCAATTCATTCAAATTTTTTAATAATTTGGAGCATTCACATTCCTATAAATTTTTTTCCTTATGAAAAGTGTGTATTGCACTTCCAGCACCAAAGTACTAATGTATTGGTTATGGAACAAAATGATTTTTTACATAAAGTCTTGTCTGGTCCTTTCATTTGTGACAGATTTCTTCTTTATTTTCCTTTGCTGCCTATTACATTACGAGTGGTACTTAAAATTCCTGCTTTCCCAAACTGGTTTCTTTTCTGAAAAATGTTCAGTAGCCTGGGGCTTTTAGGTGTGAGTGAGGCCCCTTATGGGTTTTACTGATTAATTGGTTAGATAGAGTAGAGAAATAGTCTTATTTACAATCTAAATAAGATATGTGTTAGAAACAAGACAGTGTTAGGTATACAGTGAATTCTCATTCCATATAAAACAATTATAATTCTTTAAGCTACAAACAACAATAAGCTACAATAATCAGCATTAACAAACTAATTAATAATCAGTACAATACTGTAATAATGGGCCAAATCCAAATATAGGTGTTGTGCTATGTAAAGTTAGTTAAAGGGTATCTGTTTTGAAAGAAGCGTGGTAGCCTTGAGCCTGATATCAAGAGGGACAGTGGAGTAGAGCAGAACTGCATTGGACTTCCAGTCACCCAAAATTTTAATGAGTTCCAGGGGTAAACCCATTTGGAAGGCCAATGAAGCTCCCCCTGGCAAAAAGAATGGGAACCAAATCCATTCCATTTGTTAATGCAAGCCCGCAGCTGAGCCAGGAAGAGGTCATAGGTAAAAGTTCGAAAAACTAGAGAGGAATGTACCCACTGAAAGACTTGGGAGGTGGGTGGGAGAGTGTTGAGAAGAAGGAATGAGAAATAGCAGTGACAGGGCAGAAGATAGAACCTGGGACATGAGGCAGAGGAATTTGAACAACTACAACCCTTTCCCCAAACTTTATAGTTTTGCTCCATTGAACTCGGGCCAGAGCACCTCCTAGGAAGAAAGAGAAATCGGCCTTGTTAAGCTGTTAAGCTGTTTATTGGTTAGTAAATGTGATTTGCTGAGCATACCAAAAAACGCAACCAGACAAATTTCCCAAAAGGCAGCATCAACACTATAGGTGATGTTAAGTTGTGCGTGAATACTGCATAGGATGTCAAAGGTCATAGAAAGTTTCTGCTTAGTTGTGTTGCCGTGAACCAGCTGAACTCCAGTGAGGAGGGAGGATAGTTGCCAGTTCCCATCTAAGCAGCGAACTCTCTGTAAACCTGGGCAGAACCTAGAACAGGGATGTATAACACTGGTTGGAGACATGTGGTTTACAAGGGGCTCACTGGAAACAGCATGGGAGGAATTAAATCTACAAAACTCTGAATATAGCTGAAGTAGTGCAACAACATTATGCATACGAGAGATACGGTCTGCGTGAACATTGTCTGGACCTGGAACACAGACTGCAGTTATACGGAAATTATGAATAGCAGATAACCAAAACAAATCTCGGAGCCATGTCATGACAAGAGAGTTGGCAGTAGTGCCTTTGTTGATCATGGCAAGGAGTAACCACCTTGGAAGGACTTATTATGAACCCTAAGTCTAGTAGCAGGCCATAAAGGGTATTGAATGCAAGTTCACATTCAGCCTTGGAGGGAGAAACAAGGAGGAAATCATCCAAATAGACAATAATTACCTGGAAACCTCTGCGGTGCATCATACGTTTGACATTTTGTGTCAACTGATGAAAAATGCCTGGGGCATGTCTCCCCCCAAAACAAAGGCGAGTGTCATACATGTAGGTAGGAGTGTTATAACCAGAAAAAGTCACCTCTATGCCAGTGGCAGGATAATTAGATGGGTGGATGGGCAGGGACCTGTAAGCATGGCATAAGTCAATCTTAGCAAGGTAATAACCCTCATCTACAAGCTCAATGGTCTGAAAATGTAGCTTATCAAGAGAAGGGACATACGAATTAACCCCCTCTCCTACAGGCATGCTGTCATGGATAAGCCGTAATTCATGACTGTCGGCCTTAGGGCAGCACTGATAGCACTAATAATAGTAGGTTTAGATTAAGTGATCACGTAATTACCCTCAGCTATTTCCTCCTTGAGGTTGTATTCTACTTTATCTCTTGCTTCAGGGTTGGTGGAGGATCTATAATTGTCCATTTCTGCAGGAGATAAAGGGGAATCGGCAGGGATGAGCTCAAACCCATGTATAATACCTTCAAGCAAAAATTCTTTGTCTATATCTAAGTCTAACTCAGCCATCCACCTGCCCTTATTTAAGGGGGAGGGCACCCCCCCAAGGGAGTCACCAAGATGGGGAACCCAGGGAGCCATGCTGAGTTGCTGGGTGGGCACTACTACAGGCCTTGCCCTTAACCTTCAAATTACAAAACAATTGGCCTTGGCCCCCCCCCCACTTTTTTGCAAAACAATAGAGTTTTTTGCAAAATCTTTTGTTATTGGTGTTAAATTTTCCCTTGGCCACCCCCCCCATATTTCAACCCATGCAGTATAGGCAAGATAATCACGCACATCCCGAAAAGTTGGAAGCTTGCCAGAAAACAGAATACTGTGAATAATGCGAGTGTTGGCTACCACCCACTAAGAAAGAGAAACACTCTTGAGCCTAGGCCGTTGCTGACTATACAATATGAGAAGCCAAGAACCCTCGATATCAGACAAAGTTTGTTCAGAGTCTTTAGGCACTAAACTAGATATGAAGTCTGCAATACGCAGGACTTTCTCATCTAACGACAGAGCTGCATGGGGCCAGGAATATGTCGGCGTGGTGGTCACTCCTGGCCTGAAAACGTTCATGGAGTGACGAGACTGGCTGTGGTGCTGCAGCTCCGGCAGGCACAGGTTGGGTTGGAGGCAGCTGCCAGGGCAGTTCCGGGTTGGCAGGCAACGACGTCAGATTGTGGGCTCCTGAAGAAGCAGATCAAAGAAGCGAATTGAGGGCTGACTCTCTACCGAAATTTAGGCCATTTGCGACACGGAGGGGGGGGTCTTTGTGGGTGCTGTTGTGGTTTTGCTGTGTCGGCTGCGGTGGGTGCCTCATTTTCATCCGCAGACCGTGAGTTGTGGTGGTCGGGTAAGTTTGTTTGCGGTGCTTTTCGTCCTGTAAATTTGCCATTAACAATCGAATTCAAGAGGTTGGGGTCGGACTCTCCGCTACTTGTTGTCTGAGGCTGTCGAGCTCATTTTCATGACACGGGCCTTTTTCTCCGCCACTTGTTGTCTGAGGCTGTCGAGCTCGGCAAGGTTGCGTTCTTCTATGGCCAGTTGTCAAAGTTCTTCTTCAAGAGCCCGTTTCTCTGCAACATTAGGGAGAACATTAGATTCCCGAATAGATGTGGCAGGAGTTAATAGCTGATCGAAGGCAACAAACTGTACTTGCTTTGAAGCATTGTCGGCATCAAACATGGTGAAGGAGACTTGGTCTTCATCATCATCTTGCCCTTGGCAGTGAGGATCTGGCTGTCCCCAAAAATTTTGTTCGTGCGGTTCATGGCAGCCCGCACATTGTCTAGTTCGGCGAGACTTACAGGAAAAGACGTTAGTTTCGTTAACAGAAGACGCTTGTTGTGTAGCCATAAGATCTTGCGTAGAAACGGTTCGGCGAAGCGAAGTCATCATCAGCATTCAAGATGACACGTATTCAGACTGCATTCAGAAGTCTTATATATTTACAATTCAATATGAGTCGTATTACATTTTTTCAATTCACTCTCTCACTCTCTCTCTCTCTCTCTCTCTCTCTCTCTCTCTCTCTCTCTCTCTCTCTCTCTCTCTCTCTCTCTCTCTCTCTCTCTCTCTCTCTCTCTCTCTCTCTCTCTCTCTCTCTCTCTCTCTCTCTCTCTCTCTCTCTCTCTCTCGAGATTCTCCTTGAATATCAAAAACTTTATCAACTGTTGCATTTGTACAACAACAACAGCAACAGCAAGTAAGAGCGAGCTGAACAACAGCAACAACCTTTAGGCCCCTCGAAGTCAAGTCACAAGACAGGCGGCCAGTAAAGGAGCGAAAAGAGATCATAGTGCATTTCCTTAACATTGATTGGCATGAAGGCAGCGAGAACATTTTATCGCTTCTATGTCAGTTCCATGAACACAAGGCCATGGCAAACCACAATAATATCCACTGGTATGTCACGACTTTTCAGCGTGATACTCTTGCTTTTCGTTCGTATAAATTTGATGCCTATTTAATTTGATATGGTTTATGCATCCTGGGAGTTAATTAAATTTAGTATGGTTTATGCATCCCAGGATTCAAGGACCAAATATGGTGGGCGTTTTTGACTCATTGTCTTACGTCAACTCGTTGTTTACATTATGCGGAAAAACTGAAAAATGTCAGCTTTTGGTGCACTAAGACACGCACCAAAATGCATCCGAACAATAAACAAATCTTTGATACTCTAACCAAAATGACTTCCAAACTACTAGTAAATAAGGAACAACTTATCGAAGCAGTAAGAAAACATACTTGTTTGTATGATACGACAAGATCTGATTATAAGGATGACAGTGTTCGAGAGAATGCATGGATGCAGGATATGCCACAAAGTTTTCAACAGTGTACACATGGACAGAAAACTGCAGAGTGAAGGTCTGCTTTATTAATTATTTCTTGCTTAAATGTAACCAGACTATAAAAGCTTCATTTATACGTAAATCTAGAGATTTTAGTGTGATCTTTTTCTTTTTACTGGACAGCAACTTTTTATTTCCTAATTATTGCTCATGTTGGCATATTTTGCAGTAGAAATTGGCCTAAAATAACTTGAAGATTTCAGATCATGTTATAAAATAATTAATATAATAAATGCTGCAATATTTTTACTTGTTGATGCACTGATTTTTAGAGTAATAATAACAAGGTACCTAGCCCTATCAATGCTTAGAATTATTTTCTTTTTAGAGGTTGTTGTGCCAAAACTTACATTTAAAAATCTTAGAGACCAATATATGAAGATGCATCAAGAGTATAAGCCATCAGGGAATGCTGGAGGGGTTTCAATAGAGCCAACATGGGCATATTTAAACAGCTGCAATTTCTTGCCCCTTTTGTGAAGCACAAGTCAACAACATCAAATTTTGCATTTGAAATTTTGGAAGAAACTCTCCAAAAGTCACAGTTGCATGAGTGCAAAGCACTGGATAGAGAGTCAGTTGTAAATTTATTTGCAGTTGAAAAACCTATTTCTGTAATAAGAGAACATACCCCATGCGTCATTCTAGAAACAACAATTGAATCTGAGCAATATTGAGCAACCGAAATTAAGCAAGTTGACGTCATAGAGGATTCATAAATGGACATACCTAGTTCCAATGAATCTGCTGGCAAATTAGCATCAAATTATACGGTTCTGAAAAAGGAAAGGCAGATTCAGCTAAAAAATGATGAATCATCTTAAAGAAATGAACAATTGTTGAAGGCTTTACAAGAATCAAATGAATTTATTTCAATGGCTACTAGCAGAGATGAACCTGATGAGGATGACCTTTTCCGCCAGAGTGTGGGAAAATAACTTAAAAGTTAAATGAATTTCAGAAGAGCCTTGCCAAAATGAAAATACAGCAAATTTTGCATCAAATTAGATGACAACCTGGGCCTCAGTGTGAACTTTAAACAAGCAACAAGCAAAGGGGACAAATTTTTGTAGAGAACATGAATAATATTCTATTTTTCATTTTGAACAATTTTACAAACTATTGATTATGCCTTTAAATCGTAATGGATTTTATTATGACAAAATGTATTTGTTTACAGGAATTGATCTATCCTGCCTCGTTTTGCAAAATGGAAAATTATCATTTTACTGGGTCATACGATGCTCTACAAACGTAGTACTACTGCCAGGGTAACTCTCACTGTGGTGTTAAAAAAAAATTAGCAGTCCTCTAACATTTTTGTAAAATTGTTGTTGCCAATCTGATTTACATTTAATAAGGCACCATACTCTATGCATTCTTATCTCCAAATACCCTTGTGAGGTATTCCATGAGAATCCTCATAATCTACATAGCTAGGGGGGCAATAGTGCTTACCATATGACTTTTGACCATCATCTTGTTTCTTAAGCCAATTATGTAGTGCTATTGCTGCAAGCATTTGCTTCGTAGCTTTTTCAGGCTGAGCATTTTTCCTTGGAATGATCTTCGGAAATTCTCCTTTAAAGAAAACACCTCATCCCTCATAAAACAATATCTGCTTTTTAACGCTGAATCAGGCAGGAATCCTGTTAAAAGGACCTTTAGCTGTTTATTTGACAATGCTCTTCCAAAACTTGTATTATTGAAAATAGAGGAGTCACACTGATGACCAAAACCACCAACATCGACATAGGTAAACATGTAGCTTGCAATTGGCTACAGCCATTAATACTATGCTGATGGTGCCCTTATACATGCCTTATAGGAGCCATTAATACAATAATTGTCAAAAGAGCTCCCAGAGTTCTTTGGGCAAACTATAAGACAATGCTTGCCATCAATTGCTCCAAGACCCATAGATTCCAAAGGGAACCCCCATAGATTCCAAAGGGAACCCCCATAGATTCCAAATGTCTTTTGCAAGCATTTTCCAATTGTCAGTATCTTTTGATACAGAAACTGCAACATGACTTAAAAGTAACCATATCTTTTCTGGTACGTCATTCAGAATTCGACAAACGGTTGACCTGCCAATTCTAAAATTATATGACAAAGATTCTTGTGAATCTCCCGAAGCAAGATATTGCTGCGTTACAGCAAGTTTCAGCGCAGATTGTAAGGGCTCCCTGAATCTGCTCCTCTGCTTTTGCAAGTGGGTTCCCACCAAGCGAAGGAGATCATTAAAGGTCCATGGAAGCACTCTAAACTAATTAAAGTGCATTTGATGATCTTGCAAACGCATTTCTTCAACAAGATTAGAATGGTGTCCATGCTCCTCTCTAGATTTCCTTATCTCCCTTACCCATGTAGAACGTTTTCTTTCATCATTAGACAATAAATATAATGTAATGAGAGCATTTCTGTGAGCCACAGCAAGCAAAAAATCATCCTTTCTGGTAGCCATGTTTACACTAAATAAAGCATCGAAAACGGGACTAATGTGAACAAGACCATGCTTTTTTGCCGAGTCGTGCCTCGCCGCAACGTTCCGCAACGCGTCAAGTGTGGATCTAGCGTAACTCTTTAATTTTGAAAACAATACATGAGCATTAATCATAAAGAGGGCATTACATATCTTCAATAAAGGCTGGCCTCCTGGGGGGCGTTTATTAAGGGAGGGGATAAGTGGAGATTTAATGTACTGTGGTGAAAATTGCTGCTTAATTAGCAACGCTAACATTTTTGCCTGTTTATGTCATAATGAAAATTACTGATAATGTATAGGCAGAGCTGTACATCAGGCCTCTCCGGGAAAAAACAATGCGGGCTATAAAAAGCCCTTGCCAGTTTGGCTGTGTGGGCTATTTAGACCTGGCAGAACTGTTATTAATTTTTTTATATTTGAGTATTTACATCAGCAAAATTTACTACCTTGCCAATTCTTTAAAGGGTATAAACACTATTAAACTTTAGAACCTTTTTGTATTACCACTCCTGAAAATGAGACAAAAGAGGAACATAACTCTTTTGGAGTATAGCAAAGTTTTGTTAGGTTTTGCTGGTCAAATGTGGCTTTTTGGGAATGCCTAGTTTATATGTCGTGACTTGAAAATAAATTTGCTCGCATTTGACAGCATGGTGTAATATTTTCCACTTTAATTATTCGTAACATTAATCACGCGATATGTATGTTATTCCTTTCGTGCGAAAACATTTTCTATTTCATTGCAAGTTTTAGGAGATAATACAATAGTTTGTTAACATGTGCTATATAAGGAAAAGGAAATCTCCTATTTATAAACGCACAGACATGTAAGACCTCTTCCTTTTTATTTCCTAACAACCCGATATTTAGCGGTAAGTAGTACAAATATTGGGAAGCTAAACTACGCGGATTAAATGAGTATGTTGGTTTGAAAAATTGCGCGGGCGTAAAAAAGCCCTCGCAATTTTATTTTGCGTGATAGCCCGCGTCTCTAGGAAAGGCCTGCGTACATGCTGTTTGATTTATTCTCCGATCCGAGTTGATGTCATCGATTTTGTATCTCTCTATCTACGGATCTTTCTCAAAAACGAACTTCAGAATCGTCATCTCTAAAGTAGTTTATGCTGAAAAATTCATGCTGTTTTGACCGTTCAATCGCGAGTTACTTTGTTTTGAATATTTAGATATTTCTTTAGATTTGACCGTAATTTGCTCCTGGTGTAACTTCAGATAACGCCATTTGTCATTTAATATTAGCCAATCAATAAGCATGAGATTTATACCACAATCACTGATTGGCCAATTGTTTGTATACAAAACTGAAACTGATTTAGTCCCTGCCGATTGCTTTTAACATAAAAGTAATTAATATTGTTGGAAAACAGATTGCTTAATGCCAATACTATTGCAAACCTAGGTGGATAAAACTGATACGATCTCTTAGTCATTGATATGTTTATTGAGCAATAACTTATTATTTCCTGCATCTTCTCGTTAGGTGTTCTTGTTGGAGCTGGTGACGTTATTGCGCAACAGGCAGTTGAAAGAAAGGGATTGAAACATGATGTTCTTAGAACTGTAAAGATGACTGGCATGGGTCTTTGTATTATTGGACCTGGCCTACGTACATGGTATATCATCCTTGAAAAGCTGGTAAAGGGAGCAGGGAAGACTGTTGCATTGAAGAAAATGCTTCTAGATCAGACTGTCTGGGCACCATCTTTTCTAGCAATGTTTTTAAGCGCTGTTAGTGTGCTTAATGGTAAAAGCAAAGATGAGATAATAATGAAGTTTCAGAATGAATATATAGACATGATGAAGGTCAACTATATGATTTGGCCAGCAGTGCAACTACTGAACTTTTACTTTGTACCTATGCAGCACAGAGTAGTTGTAGTAAATTTTGTTGCACTATTTTGGAATACATACCTTGCATTTGTGTCACACAGACATTAAGCAAAAATAGCTAAATGTTTAAAAATGTTTTAGTTATATAATTTTTCTTGTTGTATGTTCTTTTTTATGTGATTGAATTCAAAATAAGCCTTAACTCCCATAGAGAATCAGTCCTTAATAAGCTAGAAATCATTTGACTTGTTCAATGTTATTTCCTTTCTAAGCGAAAATTCATATTCTAAAACTGGATCACAGGGACTGGTTTCAACGAGATCTGTTTCCCCTAGTTCTTTTCAACAAATTCTATTAAAATTGTATTAAATCTATTAAAACGTTTCAAATCTATTAAACTTGGCTCTTAAAACCAAATTTTTGACATTGAAAACCACATTTGAGGTCTCCTTATGAGGAATGCCCCTTTTATAATAGTTTTTGGAATGGATTGCCTGTCTTCTCTTTTTCTCTGTCTCAAAATTCTTTGTGTCTCTAAAGAAATTAAGCATGATTGTGATGTGGGAGGGGGAAGGGAGGCAATAATGTCAAAAGTAAAATTTTCTGGAAAAAAATTTTCATGTTTTTTCCAAGATAAACAAGAGGTCAAAAACAGATTTAACCAGATTATGATTGATAGAAACAGATACAGAAACATTTGTTGGCTTTACAAATTTATAAGCCATGCCCTTATTGGACTAAGGCTATGATTTATATAGGAGATGACCCTCGACGAAAGACGAAATATCTCGTTGTTTCGTTTTGATGGCCCTTAGGAACAAAATACGACAGACAGTTAATAAACAAACAAAAAAATGAGCCGATTATTTTGTATGGTTACAAAAGTCGAGCCGAGTTTATTTTATATGGACCTCTGTAATATTTTGTCCACCTATCTATCATCACGACAACAACGCACCGAGAGAGGGCTTTGGCGACACTTTAAACTTAATGGTGATTGACAGTCCGTATACTGGGGCTTGACCGTATACTGGGGTGCCCAATTACTGGGGGAAACGTTACCAATGTTGCTCGATATCTTGACCTGTAGGTAGAGAGCGTCTTATCAATATGTATTGAGTTAAGTTTCGCGCTTCACAAGGCCAACAGAGTAGCTGATATTCTTCAAATTTAACGTATCGATCCCGTAACGTTTGTCTTGCGTGATCGATACGTTTGTTTTGCTCATTATTATTGTAGAGGGATCCCAGTTCTAATAGCATACAACGGTGCATCCGTTAAAACTTCTTTAAGATGTTTATTATAGTACAATTCATTTTCGATTAAAAAAACACCCGATATAACGAACTGTCTCCCTTCAGAAACCCCTGTCTTTTGTATATTTTTCTTACGTTGATCGTTGAAACTTAATGATTTCATCAAATCGAAGATTAATGTATGTACACTCTTTTTATAAGAACCAGTAAATTTAAGTTCAGGCTGACTGTTCTTAATCTTTTCAAAAATCTGAGGCTGGATTGTTCTTAATTTGTTCTTAAATTAAAAGGGTGTAAGCAGTGCTATTGCTAGCTTTTTCGCTCTAAGGAGGTGTTCAGGCCTCATTTGCCAACAAAGTGAGTGAGACAGCCTTAATTTGTTGACAAATTTCAATATTCACTGAAAAAGCAGCCACACATCGCTAAAAATCCTCGATTTTGAGAAAAACGTTGTTCAAAATTGAATTTGCAGAAGCTCAGCCTCAGCTTGTTCTTAATTTGTTCTTAACTTTTGACCAGTTTTGAGGCTCGTGTTCTTATAAAATTGTTCTTACAAAAAAAGAGTGTACTTTGGAATGTGCGAGGGCAACATCCAAACCATTAAAACGAGTAGATTGAATAATCGATGCCAAAAACAATTTTAGTTGTGCTCGAGTGACGCGAAGGACGATTTAGTTGCGTGATTCCTGATACTTCTCTCTAGCTCTACGTTCCCTCGACTACTCGAAGTAATATATACGATCTCGCACAGCCCCTTTTTCGTATTTGTTAATCACTTAAATTATTCATTTGAACTACTGAGAAGCAGCCAAAATAGCTACTGAACCAAACCCTTCCCCAATCTTTTTCTGCAAAATTTAGCATCAAAATCAGAGACTATTTAGAATGATTCTAAATTGACAGAATAAAGTTTTCCAAAAAAAATGTATCACCTTCAAACAAGATTATGAACTAAAAGCTGTCTTCCCTTCCATAAAATGCTTCCTCAAAATTGGCTTATAAAGAAATATACTATTGTTCATAAGAAATACTTTCGACGATTACCCATGACGATTACGACGACTGCCCAAAACAACGCAAAGTCAACCTTGTCAAAACATTCAGGGGCGAAACTACCGGAGGGTGTGGGGGGGTGTGACACCCCCCCAATCCAAAAAAATAATCGATTTCGCAGGGCAATCGAAGATTTCGCAGGGCGCCAAGAAGAGCAATATTGTCACGCAGAAATGCCACCTTTGAAGTTTGTAAAGAGCCGTTTAGGAATTTTGAAATGAAAATATCATATTTGTTATGAACCTACCTTCCTGACATTGCATTTTAGAGAACGGAACAGGTATGTAAGGAAAAGCTCCGTTATTTGCAAAGCGAAAGCATTTCTTACCGAAAGTCACAACCAATGGATGCAATGATTGATGCATATGTTTATGAGGGCAAGGTTGAGTCATGCAAATTAATTTAAGTTGTAAATTATTTTCATGACAAGCACGGCGTCACTGGGGGGAGGGGGTATAATAAGGGGCTGAAGTCCCTCACTTTTGTCAAGATTTTTTTATCATTTTTTCTATTACTTTTTAACAGTACATGAACTAAAAAACATAATAAATCGTTAAGATACCAATTTTGTTTCATCTAATTGCTAACTTTTTCACGTATATTTTTATTATTTTTCTCTTATTTGCATTAATTCAGTAAATCATTTTCTGTATCATTGCAATGTTTTAATTTTGGATGTGTAAACATGGCCTTCTTGATACAAGAAACTGCACATTTCTGTTCAGGAAAAAAAATTCTCCCAATCAAAACAAGATCTTCCACTGTCATTCACAACTACGTGCAATCTGAAACGAAAGGTTGCCGTTTCTTTCCTTCCCCAACGTCTAACACTAGAGTTTTAGCATGACATCCCCCTCTCTATTTTTCCCAATAAACAATAATATTTTCAATAAACAATCAGTTCTTTTAGCACAATAGTATTTTGCTAAATTTTTGTCTGAAAGGTGCTTTTTAGCCCTTTTACAAGGTATAATTTCAAAAAATTTCTTCACGTCGGACCCAACCATGGTGGGTCCTCCTACCTCACTAAACTCGACTCTTAAGCCCCGGCCAAACGGGCCAACATTTCACCCAACATTTCAGCCAACACGCTCTTTTCGCATGTTGGCTCAAATGTTGGGTCGTTTGGCCACCATGTTGGGTCATCCAACATTGTTGGGGAAGATGTTGCCTGAATTGTTGGCTCGATTTGAAACTGGTCAAAAATGTTGGCGGCTGTTGGATAATAATTAAAATAATCCCTTTTGTTCAAGGTGCTGTTTGGCGTTGTTGGCTCGTTTGGCCTGGTTGCCCAACATTTGTTGGCTTCACGCAAGCGCTGTAAACAATTTATAAATGTGAATAGCGCTGCGCGCCAAGTTTGAGTTTGTGAAGCATAGATCAAAATTGTAAGAAGAAGAAAGTAGAATTGATTTGGACGATTGAAGAATATTGGATAATGGAAGAATACGAAGAAAGAGATTTATTGAGTAAAGATGAGTACAAAGAGGCCGTAAAGGCAATAAATAGAGTTTTGGGGAAAAGAAAAGCGTTGCTTTCAAGATCAGGGATGGCAGGCTTAGGTCTTTATGGACTCAATCAGAGTATCCCAAAAACGGTTGTGCTTAATGTTGGGTGAATTGTTGGATCGTTTGGCCAACCTTCCCAACAACTCCCAACATTGTTGGGAAAGATGTTGGGTTAAATGTTGGGCGAAATGTTGGCTCGTTTGGCCAGGGCTTTAGCCCCACTGGGATAAATTTCGTTGCGCTGTCTGCATCATGTACCCTCCCCCACACCCCCAATTAGCTGTTTATTAGCTTAATTTTGCAAACCAACATTAAATGAAGTGAATATAAAAAAACAATTTACGCTCACGTAGAGAAATAGAAATTTCATAGGCAATGAAGTTTCAAGTTTGTTTTTATTGCTTAGAAGTTTGTCCTCGGTAAAGACCAGTGTACACTGGTAAAGCTTTCACTAGTAACCTTTAGATAAACCTTTGCTACGAGGTCTGCAGGGCACCACTCAGTTTTGCAGGGCAGAAACCCCCCAAAACTATTGGCCAAGTTACGCCCCTGAAAACATTAGTACATAGGGCACTTATGATCTGCTCGAAATCTAAACTGCACGCTGAACTGGAAAAACTCAAAACGATCTTCCTGGACAACAGCTATCCAGAAGACGTCATTTTATCTTATACTAAGGAGAAGATCGCAAGTTTTTCGGCTGTTAAAAAGTTTGGTCCGCAAAAGTGCCCAGTTTACTTCACTTCCTTGCGCTTCGAGAGTCAGATTAGGCAAGCCATAACCAAATGTTTCTTTGCTGTCAATCCTCGGATTGTTTACAGCACTAGGAGAGCCCTTCCATCCATTCAAAAGGATTGCGTTCCTACCAACCAAAAAAGTTCCGTCATTTATGAATTTACGTGCCAGTGTGATTCTGGCTACGTAGGACGCACAACCCAAAGATTGGGGGATAGGATAAAACAGCCTGTTTCTTCCAACATAAGAAACAAAACTGCCTCTCAAAGAGAACAGCCTCCTCGATCTTGTAGGTCTAGTAACACCGTTAAAACAAATGATTCTGCCATCGGTCAACATCTTTTAGACAACCCAGATTGTGCAAAACTCTATAATGACGACATGTTTCGGATAATTGGCAGAGCCCGGTCGTCCTTCCATCTAGCAGTTTAGGAGTCGATCTACATAAAAACGAAAAAGCCGCCATTGTAGACAGAAGGAGTTCGTTTTCTCTCTTGGACTCCATTGGTAATTTTTCTTTAGGCTCGCGACACTAATTGGTCAACTATACCGGTCTTGTGCTTCCGTTTTTCTGATTGACCTATTTCGATCCACAACTGGGTATATATTT